GCAAGGACACGGGATACGCGGGAGGATTTGGAGGCGGAGGTAACGCGGAGGTGTTTAACACTTGGGCGGCGCGGCGACGCCGGCGGATGTGCGTTCGGTGTCTGACCGCTTCCCATACGCTCCCGTTCGCGCGGTGAACGCCGATCCTTAAGGACTTTTCTTCCCGGCGATTCTTTCCGCCCGCACCTCGCTGGTTTCAATCCCGACACACCTCGGCGCCTTTCAACTCCACCACTGACGCCTATCAACTCCATCTGACGCCTATCAACTCCACCCACCAGGTGCGGCTACGTGAGCGACCGCGTGCTCGGGAACGCTTTGGACGCGCGCAAGCCGTCGCGCGCGGATGCGCGGCTGCTCGCGTCGTTGGGGCGGGAGGTGGTGGAGGCGATGGACGCGGCCGCGGCGCTGGCGGCGCCGACCGCGATCGGGGGGAGGAGGCGCGCGGCGAGCGGCGACGACGACGGCGACGACGGCGACCGGGCGAAAGTCCTTAAGGAACGGCGTTCACCACGCGAACGGGATCGTACGGGGACCGGTGTAGACGCTTCGGGCCCGCGCGGGGAGGTGACGTACCCGCGGTGTTTCTTCCTGTACGACACGCTGATGTTCTTCGTGTTCAAGGTGAAGGCGAAGCGCGTCGGTGGGGGCGGCGGGGGGGTGCGGGCGACCGCGGGGGGAAGCCGCGCGCGGAGATGACGCGCCGATCGGAGGGCAACTTTTTTCCGGAGCTCAGGCGCGTTCTATACAAAATGTTCATCGGGCAGTTGAAAGGAGACGCGATCAAGTGTTGAAACCGATCTCTGGGTGAAAAACTTTTGTATAGATCGCACCTCAGTTCGTTCGCGCCGACCAAGACAGAAAAAAATTCAGAAAAAATTGGCCGTTTGAGAGAGTCTGGTCGTCTCTTCGCGTCCACTACAGATCGTCGCGTCGTCGCGTCGCGTTCGCTTCGCTCCCGCCGTTCGCACCGCGCGCGGAGGACGCCGCGCGAAGAGGAAGCGCTCTCCTTTCCTCTCGTCTCGTCTCGTCTCGTCTCGTCTCGACCGGTCGCCGCCGCGCGCGGACGCCGGTCGTTTACGTCGTCCGTCGCTCGCGGATCTCGAGAGAAGGCACCTCGGTCCCACCTCCTCCCTCCCCCCGCGCGTCATGGGCCAGTGCTTCTCCACCCCCGCGGAGAAGAAGAAGAAGAAGTACGAGGTCCAAGACTCCGCGCCGAACTCCCCGGAGAAGCCCGCGAGGAAGAAGCCGGCGCCGTCGTCGTCGTCGTCGTCCGAGAAGAAGACCGACGCCGCCTTAACCGCGACGTCGAAGACGAAGACGAAGGGCGGCGGCGGCAGCAACAACAAAAAGGGCGCGCCGCAGCTGTCGCCGGTGAAGCCGAAGCTCGACCCGAAGGACTTCATTTACGTCAACCGCCGCGGCGAGAGGCTGTGTAAGCCCCCGGGGAGCGTCGACGGGCAGCAGTTCGTGATCGACGGGTGCGAGGACTGCGAGATTTACATCCTAGGTGCGTTCTATACACTGGTCCCCATACGACCGCGTTCGCGTGGTGAACGCCGATCCTTAAGGACTTTTCCCGGCGCGTCTCTCCGCCCAGGGTCCCTCGCTTTCAATCCCCGTCCTCGACGCCTTTCAACTTCAACTGACGCCTTTCAACTCCACCCCGACATTCGCTCGTATGGAACGACCCTAAGACCACTGCGACAGCGTGACGATCGACGACTGCAAGCGATGCGTCGTCGTGATCGGGCCGACGGAGGGGTCGATATTCATTCGCGACTCGGAGGACTGCAAGTGCGTCTTCATGTGCCGGCAGTACCGCAGCCGCGACTGCGTGAACGTGGACACGCACCTGCACGTCACGACGCGGCCGATCATCGAGACGTCCGCGAACATGCGTTTCGCGTGCTTCGACTTTCACTACGATAAGCTCGAGGCGCAGATGGCGACCGCCGGGATATCGCGGTTTCAAAACTTTTGGAGCCACGTGTTCAACTTCAACCCGGAGACGCACGCCACGTGGAGCCTCATGGACCCGAAGATCACGGCGTTCTCGCAGCTGATTGGCGGGGCGTACGGCACCGGTGCCGAGCTCCCGGATTTTCCCGCGCTCGAGGGAGTGAGTGAAGCGCTGAAGGACGGCGCGGCGCCGCCGTCGTGCTGTCGGACGTGGGGCGAACGCGAACCGCCGGCGGCGGCGACGGGCGGTGAGACCGCTTCCCGTGCGCTCCCGTTCGCGTCTCGATCGTCGTTTCTTGATAAGGCGCACTTTCCTTTCCTTTCCTTTCCTTTCGCGCGCTATGTTATGAACCTCACGTTCGTTTTGACACGTGTGAGTTATATCCACCAATCATGCTATCCCCGCGCGACTGACATCCCCACGCGTCTTTCCTCGACCTATTATTCAAAAATAGACGGCGACCTCGGGACGTCGACAGGCGGCGGGGCGCGCGACGGCTGCCTGATATTGATCCCGGCCGCCGACGCGAAGATGGCCGGAGAGTTGTTGCAGATGGCCGACGCCGCGAAGGTGCTGCTGATGCGGACGAACGACTGCCAGCTGTCGGAGCCGTGGCTGAGGACGTTTTTAACCGAGGGCGGCGTCGCCGCGAACGAAGTCGCGAAGCTCGCGAAACAGCTGTCGACGGGACGCGCGATCGGTCTCGAGTTTGGCGGCGACGGGTGCGCGGACGCGATGCGCGGCGTCGCCTCCTCGGGCGGGTTCGCGATGCTGGAAGACCCGGACCAGTACGCGGAGTGGAGGTACATGGGCGTGGAGGGGTGAGGGGACGGACGGACGGGATGGATGGATGGACGGACGGTCGCGCGATGTGAATCGTACGCGTAGTAGTCTATTCATCATTCCGTTCCGCGCGCGGTCGTGCATCATCATGACCTACAGTACTTACTCCGTCAATTCACGCTAATTCGCGGCTGAAAGGGCGTACTGTAGTACAGTACATCACGCGTTCGAATACTCCAGCCACTTCGTCATGTTCGATCCGTAGGGATCGATCGACCGGTCGCGCTTCGCGCGCGCGTCGCGGTTCGCCTCGCGGAAGTCCACGCCGCACGCCTCGCAGACGTCGTCGCCGTGCGGGACGCACACGCGTATCGGCGTCAGGCACTCGTCGAGCTCGTAGACGTTCTTATCGTAGCCGCCGTCGCGAGAAGTCGCGATCGCGTCTCGCGCGCGTCGCCTCGCGTCGTTTCCTTCGAGAAAGTTTACATCGCATCTGTCGCATCGCTCGACGCGGTGCTCGCCGCAGACGCGGACCGTCGCGCCGCGCTCGTTCAGGTCGAGCGATCTCGATCTCGCGGCGAATGGACGCAGCGAGTCGCGGTCGCGGTCGCCGTCGCGCCGGGGTGGGGGGAACAGGAAAGCGTGCATGGGAGAGACGCGCGGGACGGGGAGGACTGACGCGACGCGACGGGACGTTTTCGTGCGTTCTTTTACTCGGACAAACCGAGGCGACTTCAGGCGTTAGGCGCGTTCAGTTCTATACAAAAGTTTTTCACCCACCGCTCGGTTTCAACATTTGATCGCTCCCCCTTTCAACTGACCGATGAACATTTTTTGATTGGCCCTTCTATCATATCAGATCAGTCGGTGTACGTTGTACGCGAAAAAGCTACGACGCGCGTCACTCCACCCACCGCGCGCGTCCGATGTCCGCCTGCCCGCTCCGTGAGCACGGCGATGTCGGGCGGCTCGGAAGCGTCGTCCCTCACGTGCGGCGTCGTGGGCGTTCGAGACGACGCGCCCGTCGACCGCGCGAGCGAAATCGAGCCACAGCCGCTAGCACGGGATAAGAGCTTCGACGCCGCGAAGAGGCGAAGAGAACAAGACGCGCGCAACAAGCGGGAGAAACGAGCGCGCGCGGCCGCGGGGATCGTCGAAGTAGTTGTACCAAAGAAGAAAATGAGCGCCGCGGAGAGATACAGGGCTAATCGCGAGCGCATGACGATCGCTCAGAGAGTGGTTTATCGTAGGAAGGACGCCGCGTCGCATCGAGCCAGGTATACATCGACATACGTTCGAGACGACATACTTTCGAAGCTCGAGCCCGTCGCGCACGGTCTCGCGAAAGAAGAAGCCTGGTCACTGTACAAGTATATACGATCAACCTTCCCGAAAGAAGAATCGGGCGTGCCGGACGATCACGAGGAGACGACGGCAGCGGCGGCGGACGTCGTGATGACCGAGCCGAGCCGGGCAAAGTCCTTAAGGATCGGCGCGCGCCCCGCCAACGCGGTCGTATGGGGACCAGTCAGCGTGATGACCGAGCCGGTGAAAAAGACGAGAGATGCGCCGGCAAAAGTCCTTAAGGTTCGGCGTTCACCCCGCGAACGCGGTCGTATGGGAACCAGTGTAGACGTCCCCGCCGCCTTCGCGACGGCGGCGGCGGACGCGTGCCAGCACCAGAACGTGTTGGCACCAGTGAAGATGGAGGCGGACTACGATAACTACGATAAGCAACAGAAAGAGTCGCAGTCGCAGTCGAAGGATGGACTCGTCGCGCGTTCGGACGTGGGGTCGCTCGCGCCCGCGACGCTCGAGCCCGGGAGCGTCTTGATGACCGCGGAGACGTACTGCGCGCTGCTGATTCGACGCGGGTTCACGCCGCTCGTGTCCGGGGAGCGATGCCCGCGCGTGGAGGGGATAGCGGCGACGGTGTAGGCTATGAACACCGCTACTGTCGCGCTACTCGATGATCCAATCGCCGTCCTCGCTCCCCGCCATCTCCTGCGCGAGCCTCGACGGCGGCAGCCGCGACGGCCACATCTCCGCGTGGTTCCTTCTGAACCAACTCGACGTGAAGAGATTCAACTCGCTCGCCTTGGACGTCGACAAGTCGACGACGTCGCCCATCTTGACGTGGTGCTGCGACGCGATAGGCCGAGGGAAGACACGTGTCAGTCACGCGAGGATGTTATTGGTGGATATACTTCACACGTGTCAAAACGAACGTGAGATTCATGACATAGCGCGCGAAAGGAAAAAACGAACTCCTTAAGAAACGACGATCAACGCGCGAACGGGGTCGTACGGGAAGCAGTCTCACCGTGACGTGCGCGCCGTCGATGTACGCCACTCCGACCCTGCTGTTCCATCGAAGCGTCATCGTCTCCTCGGGGTCATAGAACCCGTGCCCGCTCGACGGCGGCGGGATGTGATCGTGATAGATCGGCTCTCGATCCATGAACTGCAGGGCCATTCCATACAAGCGAATGTCGGGGTGGAGTTCATAGGCGTCAGTTGGAGTTGAAAGGCGTCGATGGCGGGGAATGAAAGCGAGGGGTGGGAGGAGAGAGACGACGGCAAAAGTCCTTAAGGATCGGCGTTCACCACGCCGACGCGGTCGTATGGGAACCAGTGTATAGAACGCGCCTGCATGCGTCGGCTCGCGTAGTGCATCGGCTTTCCCCCCGCGCTTCGCATCGCCGCGGTGGACCCCGCGGCGGTGCACGCTGAGGGTAATTGTCCATACGAGCGATGATATCGGGGTGGAGTTGAAAGGCGTCAGTGGTGGAGTTGAAAGGCGGGCGTCGCGGTGTGTGCGTCGGGATTGAAACCAGCGAGGGGTGATGGGCGGAGAGATGCGACGGCAAAAGTCCGTCCTTAAGGATCGGCGTTCACCGCGCCGACGCGGTCGTATGGGAACCAGTGTGAGATGGGACGCGCCCCGCACGCCGCTGGACCGGACGTGGAACCAAAACTCTCCGTCGCCGTCGCCGCTGTTAGTAGTATCATCGCCGCTAGTAGTATCATCGCCGCTATTAGTATCGTCGTCGTGGCCCTTCTCCCCCTTCCGCTTGCCGACCTGCACGCTGTACCTGGACACCGCGCCCGGGGACGGGTGCGCGATGAGGACGTCGTTGAGCGCCGGCGGGAGCGATTCGCCGCCTGGCGATTGATCGGTCAGCGATTGGTCGAGGGAGGACACGTGTCAGTATCGCGTGCACGTTATTGGTGGATATTGTTCCCACGTGTCAAAACGTGAGGTTGACAGCGCGCGAAATACAGGTACGTCGAAACAGACGCCGCAGCCGCGACGGAATCGAATCGAATCGAATCGAATCGGCGTCGGCGTCGGACGCACCGACGACGACGCCTAAGCGCGCGAGCGGCGTCGGCGCCGTCGCGCCACTCAGCACGTCCGTCAAAAAGGGCCCCACGTCCACGCTCGTGCACCCGCACAGGTGACCGACGCTTCGTCGCATGTCCAGCGGCTCTTTGGGCCATTCCATACAAAGCGTTATCGGGGTGGAGTTGAAAGGCGTCAGAAGCGGAGTTGAAAGGCATCGAGGTCGGGGATTGAAACCGTGGGGTGGGCGGAGAGAATCGCCGGGCGAAGTAATTAAGAAACAGCGTTCACCACGCGAACGGGGTCGTATGGGAACCAGCGTATAGAACGCACCTTTGCTTCGGTACAACGTCGCGAGATCCTGCAACGACGCGCGGTCGGTGTTGACGCCTACGTTTCGGGGTGAACGAACGCGTCGGGTCAGTCGGGTCAGTCTCGCCGGTCGAGCGGCGCGCGTTGAAAGGGCGACGAAAGGAAAGGGCGAAGAGAGAGAAAGTCCTCAAGGAATGAAGTTCACAACGCGAACGCGGTCGTATGGGAAGCAGTCTCGACGCGGGGAGCGGTCCGAATCATCATCCATCTATCGTCTCACCTAGGAGCGGAGTGTCGTCCTCGATGAGATGCGACGCGATGAGCGTCGTGCCGTCGCCGCCGAGCGCGACGACCAGGTCCGCGTCTCGCACGTGCTCTCGCGTGATCTCCGAGCGCATCACGCTCGTCGTGGACGTGACCCCCATGTCTCGCAGGAGCGTCGTGATCCGATCGACCTGATGCACGAGGGTCGTTCCGAACAAAATGCGATGTCGGGGCGGAGTTGAAAGGCGTCAGAAGCGGAGTTGAAAGGCGTCGAGGCCGGGGATTGAAAGCGAGGGGCGGGCGGAGAGAGACGACGGCAAAAGTCCTTAAGGATCGGCGTTCACCACGCGAACGCGGTCGTATGGGGACCAGTGTATCGACCTGGTACATGTGCGTGTCGTGTCGGCGCGCGAGCGATTGCATTCGCGCGGGGTCGAAGACGGCTTGACCCGCGGCGGTCGCGATCGCTTCCTGGGCCTTGTACGCGTCGAACGCGGTCTGCTTGATGACGAGGAGGAGGCGGTTGAAGGAGACCATATCGCGGGTGGTTTGGGTGGGGCGATAGAGGACGGAGCGCCCCGCGCCCCGGCGCGATGCAACAAATGAATGAACGTTCGCGACCTCGCTTTTCGCTTTTCGGTGCCCACAGCAAATTCTGCCAGTCCAAGAATCCAGTCTCGATCAACTGACCTTTCGTCGACCCCGACGCCGTGGTTTCGGACTCGGCCCGACCCCTCGCGCCGTCGCTTTCGAGCGAACGCTTCGATCGCGCCCCCCGAAAAAATCTTCGCTTCGCGCGCGTCGCTGAGCTGGCCGCGTCCAACGACTTCGCGCCTTTTCCTTCGTCGTCGACGCGCGAGGAAGCTGAGATCTCCGCGCGCGCGCCTCGCCCCCGCGCGCACACGAGATCGATGTCGTCCGCGACGGCGCCGCGCGTCCGCGCGTCCGCGCCGCGCGCGCGCCTCCCGCGTCCGACGACGACGACGACGACGACGACGCGCCGCCCCGCCGCGGCGTCCGCGTCTCCGCTTCATCGTCGGAGTCTTCTTCGAAGGGGACGCGTCGCCGCGCGCGCCGCGTCCGCGTCCGCGGACGCCCCGCCGCCGAATACGCCGCTGCGAATGATCGTCCTCCGGCACTCGGACTCGTGCACGGAGGACGCGTCGCTGAAGGACCACGATCGGCCGCTCACGTCGCGAGGGCGCGCGCTCGCGAACGGGCTCGCGAAGGCGCTCGCGGCGAGCGACGACGGTGAGACTGCCTCCCATACGACCCCGTTCGCGTGGTGCACGCCGTTCCTTAAGGACTTTTCCCGTCGTCACTCTTCACCCGCGCTTCCCTTTCAACGTTTGCCCGGTAAGACGTTCGACTGACCGATCGCTTCACCCACGCAGGCGGCGACGGCGCGTGGGGCGCGCCCGACCTCGTCCTCTGCAGCGCGTCCACGCGATCGCGCGAGACGCTCGAGGAGCTCGTGCGCGCGCACGCGCCGATCGGCGACGCGACGACGCACTTCCTGGGGAGTCTGTATCACTTCGCCGCGATGGACGGCGTCACCGCGGCGCACCTGAAGGAGACCATCGTCAAGACGTCGGAGGTGAGACTGGAAGATGAGATCACAGACTGCGACTGCTCCCCGTACGACCACGTTCGCGTGTTGATCGTCGTTTCTTAAGGCGTTCGTTATTTCGCGCGCTATGAACCTCACGTTTTGACACGTGGGATTTATCTCCACCAATCATATGTGTACGCGACTGACACGTGTCTTCCCTCGGCCAATGAATGATATCGCAGGCGGCGGCGGCGGAGAAGAAGAAGAACGGCGGCGGCGGCGGCGGCGTGAAGACGGTGATGTGCATCGGGCACAACAAAGGGTGGGAGGAGGCCGCGAGCGAGTTCGCGGGCGAGCCCGTGAAGCTCAACGTCGCGAACGCGGCGCTGTTGGAATACGTCGGCGACGGCGGGGAGGACTGGGCGAAGGTGTTCGACGGCGCGCGAGGCGCGGGGGGGCTAGGAGAGAAATCAGGCGCGTCCTCCGTTCTGTGATCACACTGGTCCCTGTACGACCGCGTCGGCGCGGTGAACGCCGATCCTTAAGGACTTTACTTCCCGGCGCATCTCTCCGCCCAGGGTCCCTCGCTTTCAATCCCGACACACCTCAGCGCCTTTCAACTCCGCTTCTGACGCCTTTCAACTCCACCCCGACGAAAATCATCGACGCTCAGAATCCGAGTCCACGTTCGTCCCCGCGCGGTGGAGGGTCGTTCGCGTCGTGGAGCACGGCGTGACGACGCCGCCGCCGCCGCCGGAGCGGCCGGAGGACGACACGTGGGGGGGGGAAGGGCTCACCCCGGTGCCGTCCGCGTGACGAAGACGCGTCAAGAGTCGTCGAGAGACAGACGCGTTCGTTCGTCGGGAGCCGATGCAATTCTTCTACGTATAATCAGATTCTTTTTCACCTACGTGTACGTGTACGAGTACCTTCGTACGAGTACTCGCGCCTAAACCTCCTACGCGCGCCTCCCTCCTCTCTCTCTCTGTCATCAGAACGCCGCGAACTCGCCGACGGCGTCCCCGAACGCGGCCGCGCCCGCGCCCGCGAGCTCCGGCGCCTCCGTCAGCACCCCCCCAGCCAACATCCGGTGCGCGACGTCCGCGATTGGAGACACTTCCTCCACGTCGTGCGACACGACGACGACGGCGCGATCTCGTCTGCGGGGTGAATGAAGTTCGAAGTTCGTTCAAAGGCGACGTCCGTCGGGGTGAGCGTTCAAAGGCGTCGTGGGGTCGAACGTTACGTTGAAACCGAGGAAGGAAAAGTCCTTAAGGATCGGCGTTCACCACGCCGACGCGGTCGTATGGGGACCAGTCATACCTGAGCGCGTCGAGCAGCGCCACGACGTCCGCTCGCGCTTTCCAGTCCAACCCCGCGAGCGGTTCGTCAAGGCACAGCACGTGCGGGTCGCGGACGAGCTGTATCGCGAGCGCGAGCCTGCGCTTGTACCCCCCGGATAGGGAGCGGACTTCGGTGTCGAGGGGAACGTCGAGCATGCCGACGGCTTCGAGCGCGGATTGCATCCGCGTCGCGAGCTCTGAGGGAGGGGTGGAGTTGAAAGGCGTCGCGGTCGGGCGTTGAACGCGAGGGATGGGCGAAGAGAGAGTCCGGGAAAAGTCCTTAAGGATCGGCGTTCACCACGCGAACGGGGTCGTACGGGGACCAGTGTCAGATAGAACGCACCTCGTCTTCGCGGGTAGTACTCCGCCTTGGTCGGCCATCCGAACGTGAGCTCCGAGAGGACGGTCCGGCCGAGGAAGTGCCGCTCCGGGAACTGAAACACGATCCCCACGCGCGCGTTCCGTAACGCGGACGGCAAGTGATCATCTAACGGCAGGTCGCTGAACGTTATGACCCCCCCCGTCGGCTCCGCGAGGCCGCTGAGGGTCGCCGTTCCGTGCGAGCGATGATATCGGGGCGGAGTCGAAAGGCGTCAGAAGTGGAGTCGAAAGGCGTCGAGGTGTGAGCGTCGGGATTGAAGGCGAGGGACCCTGGGCGGAGAGAGACGCCGGGAGAGAAAGTCCTTAAGGATCGGCGTTCACCACGCGGACGCGGTCGTATGGGGACCAGTGTGAATACGAACGCGCCTGACGAGCGTGAGGAGCGTGGACTTGCCGTGCCCTGATCGACCGACGAGGAGGCACAGCCCTCGCGGCGACAGCGACAGGCTCGTGCGCCCGGTCAAGATCTTCGCGCCGCTGCCGACGGGGGTGTACTCCAGGTCTCTGATCACGAGGCCGCCGCGCGAAGACGCCGGGGGCACGGCGGCGTCCGCGGACGGCGACGGCGGCGACGGCGACGGCGACGACGACGACGACGACGACGACGACGACGACGACGACGACGCGCGTCCTCGGACGACGCGTCTTCGCGCGGGCGCGCGGGGGGTCGCGACGACGCCGCCGCCGCCGCCGCCGCGCCGTCGCGTCGTCGCGCGGTGCGGCGAGGACGAGGACGCGCGCGCGTGCGACGCCGCGCGCGCGGTCGTCGCGACGGTCGCGGGCATCGCCGTCGTCTCGCGCGGGCGAGAGTACAGCTGAGTGCGTTCGCGGCGGGACGAGATGTGGCATTTCTCACAGCGCGCGAGGCGCTTCGGCCGTCGGTCAGTTGGGAGAATTGCGGGTCAGCTTGACAGTTGACGCGGCTGCCTCGATCGGTCAGCTGAGTGGTTTGAAACGAACGAAACCGCGGAATTAATTTTGCACCCGTTGGCCCCGCTTTTCTGCCGGATCCACCAGTGTCGCCGCGCGCACCCAGCCGCGATGCGAGCCGCGATGGCGACACGCCGCGCGCCCTCGCCGACGCCCGCGGTATCGCGCGGACGCGCGGCGCGCGCGTCGTCCGCGACGCGCGCGGACGCGACGCGTCGCCGCGCGTCGTCGTCGCGCGCGGGCGCGGAGTCGTCGTCGATCATTCTCTCGTGCGATTTCTCCCATTCGACGTCCCGCGTCGACGATCTGCCGACCGCGCGCCGCCGCGTCGCCGCGCCGACGGCGTTCCCGACGCGACGACGCCGCGACGCCGCGACGAGCGCCGCGGGCGTCCGCGCGCGCGCGTTCCCGCAGGGCAAAGAGCGCGGGAGGGTGTCGTACGTCGATCAGTACTTCGGCCCCTCGCCGCCGTCGAAGATTCGTCGCGGGAGGGAGAGGACGAATCAGAAGACCGATCCCGGCGATGACGACGCCGACGACGACGACGACGACGACGCCGTCGCCGACGTCGCCGACGTCGCCGTCGCCGCCGCCGACGACGACGACGACGACGACGACGCGCGGAAGTTTCTCGGCGCGAGCGCGGTCGCGCTCGTCGCGTGGACGGCGCACGTGCGAGCGAAAAAGGCGCGCGAGGCGGACGCCGCGACGACGACGACGCGCGAGCCCACATCTCGGGTTCCCTCCGCGAAGGATCGCATCCGCGCGAAGAAAATCGAGCGCGAGATGAAAGAGACGATCTCTCGCGCGCGCGCGGAGGCGTCGCGGAAGACGGAGCTCGAGCGCCTGAGAGCGCGCGCGGAGACGCAGAGACGGGAGGATGCGATCGCACGGGCGAAGCGAGAGAGGGAAAACGCGACGGAACGCGAGCGGCGGGCGAGAGAGGCGAAGAAGCGTCTGGAGGAGCGCGAGAAGCGCATCACAGACGCGAAGACGACGGCGGCGAAGACGACTAAGACGAAGGGTACTACTACCTTGTTGAAGGGCCCTGGTAACGCATCGAAATCGAGCGTTACAAGTACGACGACGACGACGAAGTCGACGTCGACGTCGACCGCGTCCGAAAAGTTGTTCGACCCGGTTCGCGTCAAGGCTTCTGAGGTGCGTTCTATACACTGGTCCCCATACGACCGCGTTGGCGATGTGAACGCCGATCCTTAAGGACTTCGCCCGTCGCATCTCTGCGCCCACCCCTCGCTTTCAATCCCCGCCCGCGACGCCTTTCAACTCCAACTGACGCCTTTGAACTCCACCCCAACGTCGCTTTGTATGGAACGGCCCTGAGACGGCTGCGAAGTTCACGGACAAGTACTTCCCCGGCGTCGGCGAAAAGCCGGTGATGGTCCGCAAGGGCGGTCGGTGGCGATTCGATCAACCCCTGCCCGCGGACGCGAAACAAGCCGCGATCGAGACGAGGCGAAGGGAGGAAGGGAGGGCTATCGCGGCTGAGGAGTGGCAAGCCGGCGTCGATCGCTTTTGGTCGTCGGCGATCGCGTCGGTGAACGAGGCGGGCGCCGCGGTGACGTCGCTGCCGATGAAGATCGCGCCGAGGGTGTTCACCGCGCTGACGGACGAGGGGCGTGATCGTGCGATCGCGAAGCACGAGAAGCGCGAGGAAGCGAAGAAGGCGAAGGCGAAGGCGGCGAAGGATCGAGACCAAAAAAAACCGACGTCGACGACGACGACGTCGTCGCCGACGTCGCCGCCGCCGCCGGCGAAGCTGCCGTACCCGTCCCCGACGCGACTCCTCCGCGAGAACGTCGCGAAGACGTACGCCGCGTCCTCGGACGTCGTGAAGAAGTACGCCGCGGTCGTGGACGCGTCGCCGCCGCCGTTCCTCGGCCGCGTCTCGGCGGCGACGGGGCTGGCGCCGTCCGCCGTCGCCGCCGCCGCGCTAGGTGCGTTCTGTCTCACACTGGTCCCCATACGACCGCGTCGGCGCGGTGAACGCCGTTTCTTAAGGACTTTACTTCCCGTCGTCTCTCTCCGCCCAGGGTCCCTCGCTTTCAATCCCGACACACCTCGACGCCTTTCAACTCCACTTCTGACGCCTTTCAACTCCACCCCGACGTTCGCTTTTAAAGCGCTCGCGGCGGGGGTTTCCTTGGCGGGGGTCGTCGGCGGCGGCGGAACGCGAGGGGAACGATCGGAGGGGAACGATCGTCGTCGTTCGACGCGCGGCATCGCGAATACCGATGCCGTCGACGCCGCGGGCGCTGCTAGCGGGGAGACGCGGAGAGAGGAGTCATCACTCTCGGAGGAGCTCGAGGCGGACCGCGAGGCGCAGCGGCGGCGGTGGCGAAACGCGGTGGGCGACGACGAAGAATCTGATTCGTCCACGTCGGCGCCACGTGGCGGCGTTCAATTGAACGATGTGGACGGTGCCGTCGACGACGCGTCGTCGTCGTCTGACGAGTCATCTGATGATGCTGACGTGGCGGACGCGGACGTCGAGGACGCGCGACGGCTCGGCGAGGACATCGTCCGCGAGATGACGACGGCTTCTTCGACCGCGACGGCGGCGGCGGCGGCGGCGGACGCCGACGACGACGACGATGATTCAAATTATTCCAACGACACGGAAGCAGACGCGAAGCGCCGCCGCGACGCGAAGCTTCGCGCGGAAGCGAGCGTGATGTCCGAGTACGCCTCCGCGGACTCCCCGACGTCGCCGGGTGGGACGGGGTGGGACGAGCGGGAGCTGCGCGAGATGAAGAAAAAGTTTCGCGACTTTCTTCGCGACACCAAGGCGAAATGATCGATACGAGCGATGAGGGCGGCGAGGGCATCGTATCGTCAGTCGTAGCGAGGGGGCGCGGGCGGGGGATGAAGGCGCGCTTCGCTGCGGAGGCGGCGCGCGCGCGCGCGCGATGTGATCTGATCATCAAACGCAGAGAGAGTTCTCCGGTAGGGGACGCTCGCATCGAAATAAATGTAACTTCGCTCTCTCCGCGAAATTCTCCAGTCCGAGCACTGATCATCATCAGTGGTTTCGCGCGCGAACAGACCGACCTCTGGCGCCACCCAGGCCACCTCGTCCGGTCGACGTCATCGAGATCGCTTCCGTCGGCGTTCGGTCGTCGTCGCGCCCCTTCGCGCGTCTCGCGCGCCTCACTCTGCGACGCGCGCGCGCACGCCCGTGCCGCGTGAATCGCCGCCACCGCGCGTCTCATCGCGTCGCGTCGCGTCGCGTCGATCGACCGCGCGCCCGCGAGCGCGTCGTCGCCGATCCGATCGATCGAACGTCCACGGAAGGACGAAGGCTGCAGAAGGCACGCAAATAAATAATCTTCTGACGTCACCGCAACGGCCGCGACCGCCACCGAACGCGAACGGAACGGAACGACCGACGGACGATCTCGCGACGATGCCGACGCTCGAGCCGTTCGCGGACCTCGCCGCGCGCTTCCGCGCGCACCACAACAACTCCCTGAACGTCGCGCTGCACATGATCACGACCCCCGCGGGCGTCCTCGCCGCTCTGATCCTGGCGCTGCAGCGACCGGAGATCTCGCTCGAGGTCGTCCGCGGCGTCGTCGGCGCGTACGTCCTCTCGCTCGCGTTCATTCTTCTTCGCGGCGGCCATCTCGCGGCGTTCTTCTGCACCGCGGCGACGATGGCCGCGCTGACGCACGCGGCGACGGCGCTCGCGCCGACGCTCTCCGTCGTCGACGCCGTGAAGCTCTTCGCGGTGGCGTACGTCGGGCAGGAGCTCGCTCACGTGATCACGGGAGAGACGACGTTTCAGGCGCGTTCTATCATCACACTGGTCCCCATACGACCGCGTCGGCGTGGTGAACGCCGTTTCTTAAGGACTTTTGCGGGCGCATCTCTCCGCCCAGGGTCCCTCGCTTTCGATCCCCGCCCTCGACGCCTTTCAACTCCGCTTCTGACGCCTTTCGACTCCACCCCGACGACGAATGCTTCGTACGGAACGCCCCTCAGTCCACGTACATGTCTAAGCGGTCGTGGCCCGCGCTGCTGCTGGAGCACACGTACTACCTCCTCCCACTGTGCTTCGACGCGCTGTTCACGCTGAAGGAGTCGTTCGCGACGTGGATCGTCGCGCACGACTACGTCGTGCGATGCAAGCTCACGAGCGCCAAGGACAAAGCGGTGAGACGGCAGACTGCTTCCCATACGACTCCGTTCGCGCGTCGATCGTCGTTTCTTAAGGAGTTCAGGAGTTCTTTCCTTTCGCGCGCTATGTTATGAACCTCTCGTTTTGACACGTGGGAATGATATCCACCAATCACACGCACGCACGACTGACACGTACGCGTCTTCTCTCGACCAATCGTCGCAGGCGTTGCGCGCGGTGAAAGATTTCGTCACCGCCGAAAACCCGGACCGATCGTGCACCGCGCACTGGTGAGACTGCTTCCCATACGACCCCGTTCGCGATGTGAACGCCGTTCCTTAAGGACTTTTGCCGTCGTCACTCTTCACCCGCGTTTCCCTTTCAACGTACGTTTGACCGGGAAGACGTTCGACTGACCGATCGCTTCACCCACGCAGGTGGTACCAGAAGCTCGAGGGTTCGGTCAAGGACGCGTTCACGCACTGCATGGGGTGCGACCCGATGAAGAAGATGTTCACCGATCGGTTCCGACCGGACGCGTACAACGTCGATCCGATCCCGGCGATGAACGAGATCTACGTCGCGTCCAGCCACCACGAGAACAACAGCGACACCGTGTTCTACACTCAGGCGCGTTCTATTCCTTCACACTGACTGGTTCCCATACGACCGCGTCGGCGTGGTGAACGCCGTTCCTTAAGGACTTTATCTCCCGGCGCATCTCTCCGCTCACCACCCCTCGCTCACAATCCCGACACACCTCACGCCTTTCCAACTTCAACTGACGCCCATGAACTCCACCCCGACTTCGCTTTGAACGATGGACAATTACCCTCAGCACTGCGACGGCCCGTGGAGCGTCTACCCGTTCTGTCACGTCTACCGCGTCATGCTCGCGGTGAACGAGAACGTTCAGGTGGAGACCATCTTCACGATGCAGAAGAGCGGCGGCTGCCTCAGCGACGGCGACGCCGCGGGGTTCGACTACAATCGCGAGGTGCGTTCTATACACTGGTCCCCATACGACCGCGTTCGCGTGGTGAACGCCGTTCCTTAAGGACTTTTGCCGCCGTCTCTCTACGCCCACCCCTCGCTTACAATACCCGCCCTCGACGCCTTTCAACTTCAACTGACGCCTTTCAACTCCACCCCGACATTCACTCGTATGGAACGACCCTGAGATTCACGTCATCTCCGACTTGCCGACGAAAAACACGGATCGTCGGATCACGCTCAAGCTGCACTACGTCGTCTACCCGAAGTGCTTCGGGTGGATCGGGAAGTTCAAGGGCACGCTCGCGACGTGGTACAACACGACCGCGCGGAACTTGTTCCTCGCGACGATCAAGCCCCGGGGCTTCTTCTGGAAGTTCGCCGCGTGGTGCGTAATTTTCACCACGAAGCGCGTCCGAGAGCTCGAAATGTACGCCGGTCTCAACAACATCGCGCTCGCCGCCGCGCTGTACCTCGCCGGCTTAAAGATCCACCCGCGGTTCTTCATGGCGACGACGTCGTTCACGCACTACTGCATGTACATCGCGACGTACCACCATCGCGACCGGATTAACTTCGGCGTGTTTAAACGCAACGTGGTGTTTTTTAAGACGATCGCGTTGACGCATCTGTGCTGGAACTACCTCGCGAACTTCGTTTACGACCCGGTGTCGATCGGGATGTTGATCGGAGGATACGGCCTCTCGATCGCGGCGACGTCCGCGCTCGGGCTCGATCAGACGTACTTTGGCGTCGAGCTCGGCGCGGTGGAGCCCAACTTCGTGTCGGGGTTCCCGTACAACGTCGTCCCGCACCCGGTGAGAAGCGACTTCATTTAGAGTTGACTGCTCTCGTTTTTGGCGCGTCGTCGCGCGTCGGTTCTGATGAAGGACGACTTTCGTTTCGTCTCGTCTCGTTTCGTTTTTAATTTACTTTCCTTTCAAACGCGACCGCGACCGCGACTCGCCGACTAACCAACGATCTCCCCCAAACATCCCCCCATCCATCGCGTTCAAACCAACCAACGCGCAGATGATCGTCGGCGCGATGGTCGGCCTCGGCGGGTTCCACAAGATGGCGACGTTCCGCGCTTCGACGCCGTACCTCGTCCCGGCGCACTGCCTCATGTACTTGATTCACATGGTACAGGAGCAGGTGTACGACATCTACAAGAACGACTGGCGCGTGAGCGGTAAGGCTATTAATAAGGCGGTTAAGGGCGGCAAGGGGAAGGCGGCGGCGGCGGATCTCTCGCCGTCGTCGCCGACGCGCGCGTCGACGCGGACGCGGAGGAAATCCGTCAAGCTGGCGTGAGAGGAAGGAGAATGAAGGGAGGAAGGGAGGGAGGAAGGGAGGAGAGAGCGTCGCGTCCGCGGCGGCGGTGCGGTCGCGGGCGCGGGCGCTATCGATTGATTTACAACTCCTCACGCGTGATGGTTATGAATGATGGTTATGAATGACGATTTGATCTGATGACCTCGCTTTTTTTTTTTCTGCACGAACTCTCGTTCTTCTCCGCGCCGACGACAGATCTCGTCGTCAGTCCGCGCCGCGCCGCGCCATGGCGCTCGCGTGGCTTTCCCGCGCCGTCCAGGGCCGCCGCGACGCCCTCGGCTCGATCGACGTCTTCGTCCTGACGTGGACGCTCCTCCACGTCTTCTTCACCCTGCGCGACGTCGCGCGCGCGTGCGTCGACGCCGCGCGTCGCCTCGAAAAGCGAACGCGCGCATCGCTCCTCTCGACGCTCCGCGGCGCCGGCGCCGTCACCACCGCCGCCTCCGCGCGCATCGGGCCGTTCTCCGGGTGCGTCCCGGGCGCGCCGCCGGAGGCGCTCGCGGTCGTCGTGAACGACGCGTCGGACGCGCGCGATCCCGTCTCCGTCGCGCGCCTCGCGTCGCTCGTCGTGTGGGCCACCGCGCGCGGGGTATCGCACGTGTCGTTGTACGACCAAGACGGCGCGCTGAAGCGACGCGTCGGGAGCCTGCGCGAGTGCATCGTGCGCGCGACGGTGAGGGAGAGCGGTCATGGCGCGGAGGAGGGGGGCAGGGGGGCCAGGGGGAGGGGGAGGGGGAGGGGGCCGGCGCCGCCCGCGTGCGTGTATCGCGTGCGCGTGGCGGAGACGGACGGCGCGATGGCGACGCGAGAGCGGTTCAGCTGCGGCGGGAAGGCGACGACGACGACGACGACGACGACGGTTGAGAAGACGAACCGACGCGGAGGAGGAGCTGGGGATGGCGGAGGAGAACGCGGACCGTCGCGGGAAGACGAACCACCATCGCGGCAGACGACGGTCGACGTCCTCGAAGCCGGCGACGGCGCCGCCGCGTGGCTCGACGCCGTCGATCGCCGCCGCGACGCGATCGCCGCCGCCGACGCTTCGGTTGGTTCCGACGCTTCGTCTTCTCGCCCGCCGCCGCACACGGTCGAGTCCCTGGAACGTCACGCGAGGGATACGAACCGGCATCTTCCAAACGTCGACCTGTTGATCGTGTTCGGAGAGCACTTCCACCTCGCCGGGTATCCGGCGTGGCAGACGTGGAAGACGGAGATTTATCGCGAGCGCTCGGCGCGGGGCTTCACGCGGGAGCGATTCGAGTCGCTGTTGCGGCGGTACGCGAACACCGCGCGACGGTTCGGGCGGTGACGTTTCGTATTCTTTATTAATTCTTCCGACGTACAGTAGGCATAGATAGACGACGCTATGGGGAGCTCGATAGGGAGGGAACTCGACGACGATAAACAATATTCATTCATTCATCACTGCGAACGGACGGTCCTGTCTCAGACAAATCGAATCGAATCGAATCGACCGATCACTGCCCGCGGCCGCCTCGCCCGCCTCTCCCGCCGCCGCCTCTCCCGCCGCCGCCTCTCCCGCCTCTCCCGCCGCCGCCCGCCCTCGGATCGATCCGCTTAAACATCGGCGCGTTCTTCAGCATGTCCGGAATGACTAGGAACCGGATCTTGCTTCCGCGAATGTACGCGTGCTCCAGTTGGTTCACGCGGCCGTCTCTGCCCGTCTGCGTGATGCCCTCGAGTTGGCAGTTCCAGTTGTCCTCCGACTCGAGGAGCGTGCCGCGGTACGTCTCGCCGTTCTTGAGCTCGATCTGCGATGGCGACGCGACGCGCGCGACGACGGGTGGGGCGGGGTGGGTGGATGAGCGCGTTAGGAGGGAGGGAGGGAGGGAGGATCGAGCGTCGATCGCCCCGAACGAAGATGAAGAACGAATAGGTTTTTTTCCGCCTCGACGCCGCGCGATCGCGTCCGCCGGAAAGCGACGGCGACGCGCGCGCGCGACCGCGCGAGCGCGCCGCCGACGCGCGCGTCCGCGCGTCGAGGATGCTATCGAGAAGAGGACGCACCGTCACCGTGTGCCCCTCGGCTTCGTGCAGGAGTTTCACCGGGATCCCGATCCCTTTGCCGAGTCCGCTAGACATGGCGCGTCAGTAGTGCGCTCCCGCCGCGGATTCGCGAATTGATCGATTCCGCTTCCGATCTCGCGTCGCGCGGGCCGTTCGCCGGCTGCTGCGTTTAACCTCGGCTCGAGACGCGACCGACGCGACGACGACGCGGTCGGAAGGGGGTAGATCTGAGCGAGGCGGTGCGTTCCGCGCGCTCGGCGTTGTGCGAGCCCCCGCCCCCCGACCGCCCCTTCGAAGATCAAAACTCAAAAAAGTTGGCCGGCGCGAGCGGGAGTCGGCGTCGCGTCGGCGCGAGCGGAGCCACGACTGCGCAAATCTCGCCAGTCAGTCCCTCGCGCGCGCGTCGCGTGGACTCGCCCCACGCTACCCCCCCAACCTCCCTCCCACCCACCCGCGCGCTTCCCTTCCCTTCGCCCTTCCCTTCCCCACCGTGCGCCATGGGGAAGAAGTCGATGACGAAGGACCGCGGCTACGTCACCGCGACGGAGTGGCGCGAGGAGGGGGGCGGCTTCAAAGATCGCGCGGGAGAGGGGATACCGTTCCGACGCCTTCCGTTCAACTGCTGCGCGGTGTCGTTCCTGCCGTTCGAAGACCCGGTGTGCACGGACGACGGCACGGTCATGGACATCATGCACGCGGTGCCGTACGTGCAGAAGCATAAGAAGCATCCGGTGACGGGCGAGCCGCTGGAGCTTAAGCAGCTCACGAAGCTCACGTTTCACAAAAACGACGCGGGCGAGTACGAGTGTCCGGTGCTGAACAAGGTGGGTACTGTAGTGAGATCACGCACGCTTCCTGATCACCATACTGGTTCCCATACGACCCCGTTCGCGTGGTGAACGCCGTTTCTTAAGGAGTCTCTCGCTCGTCGGCCGTCGAGACGTTCGGCTGACGAACCAAATCTAATCCGATCCGATCCAATCCAATCCGTTCGTTCTCTTCTGACACTGGTCCCCATACGACCCCGTCGCCGTGGTGAACGCCGATCCTTAAAGACGTTCACGGACAGCACGCACATCGTCGCGATCAAGACGACCGGGAACGTCTTCTGCCGCGCCGCGATCGACGAGCTGTGCGTCAAGGCGAAGTGCTGGCGGGACCTGCTCACGGACGAGCCGTTCACCCGCAAGGACATCATCACGCTGCAGGCGCGTTCTAGTTGTCGCACTGGTGCTCATACGACCGCGTTCGCGTGGTGAACGCCGTTCCTTGAGGACTTTACTTCCCGGCGTGTATTTCTCTCCGCCCAGGGTCTCTCACTTTCAATCCCGACACACCTCGACGCCTTTCAACTCCGCTTCTGACGCCTATGAACTCCACCCCGACGTCGCTTTGAACGATGGACCCTCGACCCTACAGGACCCGCTGAACCAGAGCGGGAGGACGTTGGACGCGTTCGAGCACGTGAAGAGAGGGCACGACACGAGAGGAGGGGAAGATGGAACGTCAACCGACGCGGCGGCGCCGACAAACATGAACGCGCGCGCTATGAGCGAGGATATCAAGCGCGTGCTCCAGGGGCTCGGCACGAGCGACGCGTCAGCCGCGCTCGACGCCGGCGGCGGCGGAAAACGCGCGCAGGCGGAGCGACAGCTGGCGGCGGCGAAAGCCGACGCCGACCAATCCGGGAAGGACACGTCAGCGGCTGCAGCGAAGGACACGTCGCATCTGCGCAAGGGTCCGAAGCAGCTGACGCACGTGCTGGATAACGTCCGGTTCCGCCCCGGGTCGCACACGTGGAACACGGACGGAAGCGACGCGCACGACGCGAGCGCGCACGAGGCGCGTCCTATGCACTGGTCCCCATACGACCGCGTGGGCGTGGTGGACGCCGATCCTTAAGGACTTTCTCTCCCGGCGTCTCTCTCCGCCCACCCCACGGTTTCAATCCCGACACAACACCGCGACGATGCCTTTCAACTCCGCTTCTGACGCCCTTGAACTCCACCCCGACATTCGTCGCTTCGTATGGGCAACGACCCTCATCAGGCGGAGAAGAGACGCGAAGCCGAGATGCTCGAGAGATTCAAAGTCGTCGGCGATCACGTCAAAATCTCCACGAAGACGAACGCGATGCGCACGACCGGCGCCGGCAGCACGTCGTTCACGAGCACGGTCATGGGGAACGGCACGCAGGGCGTGAACACGCGCTGCGAGGAGATCGTCTATCGCAACCCTAAAAAGAAGGGCTACGTTCGATTAAATACCACGCACGGTAACGTGAACGTCGAGCTGCACTGCGACGTCGCGCCGAGGGCGTGCGAAAACTTCATCACGCTGTGCCTCGCGGGGTACTACGACGGCGTGGGGTTTCATCGTTCGATCAAAAACTTCATGATCCAAGGCGGGGACCCTTCCGGCACCGGGACGGGCGGGCAGTGCATGTGGGGAGGGAAGTTTAAGGCGCGTCCGTTCTCCTCGCGCTGACTGGTCCCCATACGACCGCGTTCGCGTCGTGAACGCCGTTCCTTAAGGACTTTCTTTTCTTCCCGGCGTACTGTGTGTTTCTCTCCGCCTACAGTACCCTTCGCTGGTTTCGATCCCGACGCGCCTACGCGACGCCTTTCAACTCCCCCCGTTTGACGCCTTTCGACTCCGCCCCGACGTTCGTCGCTTCGAACGATTGACCCTCCCTCGACCCTCACAGGACGAGATCACGCACCTCGGCCACTCCGGCCGCGGCGTCCTGTCCATGGCCAACGCGGGCCCGCACACGAACGGATCGCAGTTTTTCATCCTGTACAAATCCGCGCGTCACCTGGACGGCAAGCACACGGTGTTCGGGAACGTCGTGGGCGGGATGGAGACGCTCGCGGCGTTTGAGGTGCGTTCTATACACTGGTCCCCATACGACCCCGTTCGCGTGGTGAACGCCGATCCTTAAGGACTTTGCCCGGCGCTTCTCTCCGCCCATCCCTCGCTTTCAATCCCCGCCATCGGCGCCTTTCAACTCCATCTGACGCCTTTCAACTCCACCCCGACATTCGCTCGTATGGAACGACCCTGAGGCGGAGCCGACGGAGGACGACGATCGGCCGAGGAACGCCATCTCCATCCTCTCCACGGAGGCGCGTTCTCCTTCACACTGGTCCCCATACGACCCCGTTCGCGTGGTGAACGCCGTTCCTTAAGGACTTCTTCTTTCTCTCCTGGCGTACTGTACAGTTCAGTATGTTTCTCTCCGCCCACCACCCCTCGGTTTCAATCCCGACGCACACACCTCGACGCCTTTCAACTCCAGCCCTGACGCTTTCGTTGAACTTCACGAACTTCAGGTGTTCACGAATCCGTATAAGGAGATGGCGGAGGAGGAGGCGACGCGTGAGGCGAGGGAGAAGGCGAGGGAGGAGTCGGAAGCGCGGGAGCGCACGGAGGCGTTGAACCCCGGGCGGTGGTTCTCGGACCCGGCGGGGGAGTCACGGCGGGAGGAGGCGCGGCGACGCAGCGGCGGTGAGACTGCTTCCCATACGACCCCGTTCGCGATGTGAACGCCGATCCTTAAGGACTTTTCTCGTCGTCGCTCTTCACCCGCGCTTCCCTTTCAGCGTACGTTTGACCGGGAAGACGTTCGACTGACCGATCGCTTCACCCACGCAGGCGGCGGCGGAAAGGACGACGACGACAACGACGCGGTCGCGGGGACGAAGCGAGCCGGGGGCGTCGGGAAGTACGTGAACCAATCCGGGAAGGACACGTCAGCGGCGGCGGCGAGGACGACCGCGGCGGCCGCGCCCGGGATGTGGGGCGGCGCGAAGAAGAAGGCGAAGACGTCTGCTGGGTTCGGCAACTTCGACGGGTGGTGACCTTTAGACGCGAGCTTTGATCTGACAAAAATTCTTTCGCGAAAAAATGTTAAATCTTATTAGTCGCGAGCGATGAGACGGCAGTCGTCGTACCGTGAGCTCGTCTCGCCGCCGCCGCCGCATCCCGCGCGTCAGTACCCGTCGTCGGACCACTCCACGCTCGCTAACCCGTCGACGTTCGCGCGTATCAACTCCGCGGTCCTCTCGTTGCACCCTCTCGTCCTCCCAAACGTTTTGCTGTAGCCGTACACTGATGGATGAGGAGAAGTGTTCATCGGTCAGTTGAAAGGGACCCAGCGATCAAACGTTGAAACCGAGGGTGGGTGAAAAACGCCCAAAGATCGCACCCGATACGGTCGCGGCGTCGCGTCTGATGCGCCCTCCCCCGATCACGCGTCCGATCACCCCTCGCGTCCTCGCGTCGCTCCCGAGCTCGTCCACGAGCGCGCGGTAGACGTCCGCGTGGTACGGGCACCTCCTGACGTCGACCGACCGCACGACGAGGATCGCGGTCCCGGGCTCGTCCGGATGCGTGAGCTGGACTTGGACGTACTTGTGCGTGCCGCGCTCGAGCTTCACGATCGGGACGGATCGGAGGACGGGACCGAGCTTCGCGGCGGCGTCGTTCGAGACGTCGTCGCGCGCTCTGTCCGCGCCGATCGCCTCCGCGACGACCGCGCGCGCGGCGGCGTTGAGCGCCTCCCCGGTCTCGTCGCAGAAGCGCGCGGGCTCGTCGCTTGGGGGCATCCGTGTGTGGCGCGCGCGCGGACGAAAGTTAACATTCCGCTCTTCATCTGATAAAATTCTTTTCTGAAAAGTTGCCACAGAGCTAGCTTCTCCGGTCTCAAGCCCACAGCGCCATCTTCCACTCGTCGACTTCCGTGGGAAACACGGGCCTGAACGTCCTCGCGCTCCTCGGCGACGCCATCATGTCCTCCACCGTCGTCCTCCACTCCGCATAATGCGGCGTCTTCTGAGGGCCATTCCATACAAAAACAGTTCTCCGGTCAGTTGAAAGGGAACGCGATCAAATGTTGAAACCGAGCGATGGGTGAAAAACTTTTGTATAGAACGCACCTTATGCGCCGCCGGTCCCTCCGCGGTGGCGTAGATTTCAATCAGCACGAACCGCGTCGGGTCCTCCTCTGAGGGTGATCGTCCATACGAAGCGACGAACGTCGGGGTGGAGTTGAAAGGCGTCAGAGGTGGAGTTGAAAGGCGTCGAGGCGCGTGCGTCGGGATTGAAAGCAACGAGGGGTGGTGGGCGGAGAGAAACAAACGCCGGGAAGTATAAAAGTCCTCAAGGAATGAAGTTCACGACGCCGACGCGGTCGTACGGGGACCAGTGCGAGATGGTCTAGATGGTAGAACGCGCCCGAGCGCAGCACGTCGAATCGGAGGTTGTCCGGCTCGAGCACGCTCGACGCCGCGTTCGCGACGCACGCGTCGACGAACTCGTCCTCCATTCCGGGCTTGACGTGGACGTGGACGTGCGCGATGTGCATCGACTCCAGCGACGGCGGCGGCGGCGAAGACGCGTTCTCATCAGGGCCGTTCTATACGAGCGAACGTCGGGGTGGAGTTCAAAGGCGTCAGAAGCGGAGTTGAAAGGCGTCGAGGACGGGGATTGAAAGCGGGGGGTGGGCGGAGAGAGACGACGGCAAAAGTCCTTAAGGATCGGCGTTCACCACGCGAACGCGGTCGTACGGGGACCAGTGTGAGATAGAACGCACCTCATCTTCGTTCTCGTCGCTCGCGCCATCGTCTCTCCTCGGCTTTAGAAACGACGCCTCCTCCGGCGTCGACCGCGCGCTCGCCTTCCTCCTCGCCGCCGCGCCGCTCCCCCAGAGCCCGCGCCACGGATACACGGGGACGTACTTCCCCGCGCGCCTCGGGACCGCCATCGCGTCCGCGACGTCGTCGCGCCACCGCGCGTAGTGCGCCGTCTCCTTGTGCGCGGCGACTGACGTGAGGGTCGAGGGTCGGGTCCGTCGTTCAAAGCGACGAACGTCGGGGTGGAGTTCGTGGGGGTCAGAAGCGGAGATGAAAGGCGTCGAGGGCGGGCGTTGAACGCGAGGGACCCTGGGCGGAGAGATGCGCCGGGAGATAAAGTCCTTAAGGATCGGCGTTCACCACGCGAACGGGGTCGTATGGGGACCAGTGTGGATGGACGCATGGACGACGCACCGCCCTCGGGGGAATCGTAGATCTCCACGAGCACGAACTTCGCGTCGTCGCCGACGTCTTGAAGCACGTCGAAGCGCGCGTTGTCCTCCTCCTCGACGCTCGAACGCGCGTTCGCGATCGACGCCGCCGCGAACGCGGCCTCGGTGCCGGGGACGCACGCGACGTCCACCGTCGTGACGCGCATTTGATCCATCGATCCGCCGGGCGAGGAGGAGGAGGAGGAGGAGGATGACATCGACACGGCGCGCGTCGTCGTCCTCCGCGGCGCGGCGCGACCGCGACCGCGACCGAGGCGCGGCGCGCGCGCGCGGGTGGTGATCGCGCGAGGAGGAGGAGAGGGAGGAGGTCGACGCGCGACGCAGCGCGATACGGCGGACGCCATCGCCGTCGTCGTCGTCGCGCGCGCGGAAAAATATCTGGCGGGGACGGAGGGAGTCGCGTGCGAGACGAACAGAACGAAAAGAAACTTGGCGGCGTCACGCGTCTAGCGAACGTCTCGCGCTCTTCCTCTTCGCGCTCTCATCTCCCTCTTCGCCCCCGGGGGAGTCGCTCCCGGAGACGTCCCCGGACGCGGACGCGTCGAGCCAGCCCGCGTCGTCGTCGTTCAACGGCGACTCTGGGCGCGGCGGCGGCGCGGCGTCGTCGTGACTGTCGTCGTCGTCGTCGTCGTCGTCGTCGTCGAGGGACGCGACGAACGCGGGAGACACCGGCGACCACCGCGGCGGCTCCACGCGCTCCGCGCGGTCCTCGGAACGCCTCGGCGACGACGGCGGGGAGTCCCCCGGGGAGGAGGAGGAGGAGGAGGAGGAGGAGCGTCTCGCCGGCGGCGGCGGCGGCGGCGACGCCCCGAGCGGGTCCCCGCCCGCCGACGCCGCCGGCGCCGCTTCATCTTCCTTCTTCTCGTCCTCTTTCTCCTCCACGCGCTTCGTCGCGCCGCCCGCGACTGCCCCCCCGCCCGCGCCGCCGCCGCCGCCGCCTCTCGCGAGCGCGGCGACGCCGTGACTCACCCCGGACGCGAGCGCGCTCGCGCCGCCGCCGAACGCGCCGCCGAGCCAACTCAACGTCGACCACGCCGTCGACGACGCCGACGCGTTATTCAAACTACTACCGCTCGAAGGAGTGGCGGCGGCGCTCGCGCCGGATCCGCCGCGTTCGTCGAAGATGAGGTCGCCGCCCGCGCCACCCGACGGCGGCGGCGGGCGGAAGTTCACGCCGACGAGATCTGCCTCGGTGACGGCGCCGCCGGACGCGGCGAGGACGGCGTCTCGCCGTCGCCGCTCCACGACGCTCGGGTCTTCTTCCACTGTTCCTTCGCCTCCCGCTTCTTCTTCTTCTTCTTCTTCTTCTTCCTTCGCGCCGACGCCGCCGCCGCCGCCGCGCGTCGTCGCCGCCGTCGCCGTCGCCGTCGCCGTCGCCGTCTCGATCGCCGCCCTCGACCGGTCGGCTTCGCGGCGGAGGCCGTACAACGTGTGGTGTCCGACAGTGTCCGACACCTCGTGTCCGACAGTGTCCTTCTTCTCGCCCTCACCCGCGTCGCCGCCGCTTCCTCCTCCTCCTCCAGCGCCGCCGCCGAAGTCCTCCGCGGAGAGAAAATCGTCCAGATCTTTCCTCGCGTCGCGGCCGCGCATGAACCCGGCGACGTCGAGCTCAGCCGCGGCGGCGGCGAGCGTGCCTCGCTTCGGCGGCGATTTCGGCGGCGGTCTCCCGAACGCGCCGCGTCCGAACGCGCTGTGTCCGAACGCATCGTTGTTATCCGACACTTCGTCGTCGTCCTCCTCCAGATCCTCCTCCTCCTCCCCCGCGCCCGCGGCCGCGCGTCCGCGCCGCTCGCTCTTCGCCTGCTTCCTCGCCGCCTTGCGAATCGCCTTCAGATCCCTCGTGAGCTCCTCCTCCAGCGCGAGCTCCTGCCGGCTCCGCTGCGTCACCCGCGAGTCCCTCGCCTCTCGCTCCCTCTCCGACATGAACGCGCGAACGCGCTCCAACTGAGGGTCGAGGGTCCATCGTTCAAAGTGACGAATGTCGGGGTGAAGTTCAAAGGCGTCAGAAGCGGAGTTGAAAGGCGTCGCGGTGCGTCGTCGGGATTGAAAGCAGCGAGGAGTGATGCGCGGAGAGAGACGAACGCCGGGAAGTAAAGTCCTCAAGGGACGGCGTGCGCCGCGCGAACGGGGTCGTACGGGGACCAGTGTGTAGAATAGAACGCGCCTCGTTCGCGTGCGCGATCTCGATCGCCCTTCGACTCTCCTCGCGCGCGTCGTCCCGAGCGTAGAGCGCGTCGAACGCGGTCGCGACCTCCGCCTGGAGCAGCATCTCGTCCGTCTCAGGGTCGTTCCATACAAGCGATTGTCGGGGTGGAGTTGAAAGGCGTCAGGTGGAGTTGAAAGGCGCCGCGGGCGGGCGTTGAAAGCGCGGGATGGGCGGAGAGATGCGACGGCAAAAGTCCTTAAGAAATGGCGTTCACCACGCGAACGCGGTCGTATGGGGACCAGTGTATAGAACGCACCTCACTCATGAGGCGACACGCGGCGACGATCGACTCGTTCGCCGCCCAGACGTCGCTCACGACGCTCGGAAGCGCGCTCAGTTCTTCCTCCACCTGAGATGTCGGGGTGGAGTTCAAAGGCGTCAGGTGGAGTTGAAAGGCAACGCGGGCGGGGATTGAAAGCAGCGAGGGACCCTGGGCGGAGAGAAACGAACGCCGGGAAGTAAAGTCCTTAAGGATCGGCGCGCGCCGCGCCGACGCGGTCGTACGGGAACCAGTGTGAGACATAACGCGCCTTGGCCCAGTGCTTCGCGTGCTTCGACAGCGTCTCTCTGACGTGCTCCGCGAGCGCGATCGTCGTCTCCGCCCTCGAGAGGTGATGCGCGTTGTTCACGTCGAAGTCCGAGACGGCGGTCTCGACGGATCTCGCGAACGACGCCGCGCCGTCGCCGCCGCCGTCGCCGAAGTCGCCGCCGCCGCCGCCGCCGCCGCCCTTCGCGCTCTTTTCCCCGAAGGCGAAACCTCCTTTGGCCCCTCCCGCGCCCGCCCCGCCGCCGCCGCCGCCGCCAGAAGACGAACCGTCAACCGACGCGCCGCCGCCGCTGAGGGTCGAGGGTCCATACGAGCGAATGTCGGGGTGGAGTTCATAGGCGTCAGAAGCGGAGTTGAAAGGCGTCGATGGCGGGGATTGAAAGCGAGGGGCGGGCGGAGAGATGCGACGGGCAAAGTCCTTAAGGATCGGCGTCCACCTCGCGAACGGGGTCGTATGGGGACCAGTGTATAGAACGCGCCTGGAGCCGCCGAAGAGCGTCTCGATCTCCCGCGCGCGGCGGTGAAGCGCTTCGATCGCGGCGTCGCGCGCGGAGACGGACGACAGCGACGCGAGCGAGCCGCGGACGCTCTCCGCGGCGCTCGACGCGGTGTCGTTCATCGCGTCCACGACGTCTAAGAGCTGGTCTTGAACGACCGCGGTCTCGCCCTTGAGCCAGGAGAACCACGACGCGGTGGGCGCGCTTGAAGGCGCGGAAGGCGCGGAAGGGGCGTTCTATACGAGCGAACGGCGGGGTGGAGTTCAAAGGCGTCAGTTGGCGTTGAAAGGCGTCGAGGTGTGTCGGGATTGAAAGCGAGGGGCGGGCGGAGAGATGCGACGGGCAAAGTCCTTAAGGATCGGCGTCCACCTCGCGAACGGGGTCGTATGGGGACCAGTGCATAGAACGCGCATGATTCGGCGCGGGCGCGGGCGCTCTCATCGGATCGTCCGCTCCTTCGTCTGCGCCGCCTCCGCCGCCTCCTCCTCCTCCCGCGACGGCGTCGCCCCCGACGCGAGCCGCGGGCTCGATCGAGGACGACATGACCGACGACGACGGCGACGACGACGGCGACGGCGACGACGCGTCCGTTCGCGCGGACGACGGGGCGCGCGCGTCGGGCGAATGTGAAGATGATTTGATGATTTGATGATTTGATGATTCCTCGCGCGGTCGCGGTCGGGACTTCGACTTTTTGTGAGCTTTCGGTGAGCAATGTCGCGGTTGGCGCGATCAACGACGAACTTGAAAGCGAAAGCCGGAGCGCACCCGCATCAGATGTAAAAGATTCCACTTTCAAGAATCTTTCGCAGTGGCGAGCGCGTCGAGCTGAAAAGATCACTACACGACGCACCGGCGCGCCTCGCACGCGCGCCGTCGTCGCTCTCTCTCCCGCGCGCGTCCCTCGCGAGCAGCGCGTCGAGGGTCACCCCCCCCCTTCCGCGCGCGCGCGCGCGGCGGACGCGCGGCGACCGACCTCTCGTCCGGGGACGGACGACCGACGCGGCGTCCGAGAGAGCGAAGAAGGAAGTCGTTGCGCGGCGAGCGCATATATTAAACGATGGCGTCGTCGCTCCCGCCGCGCGGCGACGACGACGTCATCGTCGGCTACGCGCTCACGGAGAAGAAGTGCCGGAGCCTGTTCAGCCCGGAGCTCATCGCGCACGCGAGGTGCGCGCGCGGTCCCGCGCTCCCGACCCGCCCGCGTCCGCGCCCGCGGCGTCGCGCGCGTCTCCGCGGGAATAATAAAATGGCGCCGACGGCCGCCGCGCCGCCGCGTCGCGTCGCTCCCTTCCCGCGCGCGTCCGGTCGCCTCCCCGCTCGCGCGCGTCGACTGACCGACCGACGCCCCAACTCTCGTCGACGCGACCGCGCAGGGACCAGGGCGTGCACTTCCTTCCGATCGACCCCGCGGTGGAGATCGAGGCGCAGGTGCGCGCGACGCGACGCGACGCGACGCGCGCGCGGCGACCCCGTCGCGGCGCTCGAAATCCTTCGTTCGTTTCTATACACTGGTTCCCGTACGACCGCGTCGGCGTGGTGAACGCCGATCCTTAAGGACTTTGCCGCCGCCGCTTCCTCGTCCTCGTCCTCGTCGTGTCATCACGTCGTCTTCCTCCCTCCCTCCTCGTCGACGCAGACTGGGCATCCGTTCGACGTCGTCCTCCAGAAAGTCCCCGCGTCCTCGCCGGACAAGGCGACGTGGGACGACAGGATCACGGCGTACGCCGCCGCGCACCCGCGCGCGTTCGTCGTCGACCTCCCCGCGGCGGTGGAGAAGGCGCGTCCTGTTGTTATTATCACACCGGTCCCCATACGACCGCGTCGGCGCGGTGAACGCCGTTCCTTGAGGACTTTCTCTCCCATCGTGTGTTTCTCTCCGCCCATCACCCCTCGCTCTCAACTCCGACGACTTCTGACGCCTTTCAACTCCACCCACCCCGCGACAGATCGCCAACCGCGCGACGATGCTCGACGCGGTGAAGAAGCTGCACGCGGCGGCGGCTAACGAGCAGTTGGCGACACGTGTTGTTACTGATGATGTGGCAGTACACGTGGCAGAACCTGGACCGCGCACTAGCGCGTCGTCCTGCCGCGCCGTGCGCGCGCCGAGGCAGATCGTCGCGTCAGAGGGCACGGAGGAGGACGTCATCGCGGAAGTCCGCGACGCCGGCTTGGAGCTGCCGTTGCTCGCGAAATCGCTCGTGGCCAACGGGACGGCGGACTCGCACAAAGTCGCGATCGTGCACGACGTGGAGGGGCTGCGGTGCGTCGTGCGCGGCGACGTCGCGGGCCTGCGGCCGCCGTGCGTGATCCAGGAGTACGTCAATCACGGCGGGTGTCTCTTCAAGGTGTACGTCGTCGGCGACGTCGTGACGACGACGCGGCGGAAATCGTTGCCGGACCTCGCGGGCGCGCGGCGACGGCTCCGGCGGCGGCGGAAAGTGGCGGAGGCGGCGGAGCGACGGCTGCGGCGGACGTCGCGCGAGTCCGAGAGAAGGCTTTTAGAGCGGCGGGGGCGGTCTTCCGAGGACGCCGGCGGCGGCGGCGGACGGGGCGAGGTGGGGGCGGGGGCGGGGGTCCGAGGCGGCGGCGGCGGCGGCGGCGGCGACGGCGAGGGCGCGAGCGACGGGGACGCCGACGACGACGACGACGACGCGAGCGACGCCGCGTCCTTCGACGACGACGACGACGACGACGACGAGGGCGAATACTCGTATGACCGCGAAGGACGCGACGACGACGACGACGACGACGACGGCGGCGGCGGCGGCGGCGGCGGCTCGCCGACGGGCGCGCAGTCCGTCCCGCGCGTGTCGTGCTTCAAAGGCGGCCCGCTCAGGGACGAACGCTCGTGGCGGGACCGTTTGAGCGTCGACGCGGACGACGAACTTCGAGGCGCGTTCTATCTTACACTGGTCCCCATACGACCGCGTTCGCGCGGTGAACGCCGTTTCTTAAGGACTTTTCTTCCCGGCGTTTGTTTCTCTCCGCCCACGCCTCGCTTTCAATCCCGACGCACCTCGACGCCTTTCAACTTCAACTGACGCCTTTCAACTCCACCCCGACGTCGCATTGAACGATGGAACGGCCCTCAGTGCGCGAGCAAAACTTGTCGCGGTACCTCTCGAAAAATTTACGCCTGGACCCCCATAACCTGACGCTGTCGCACGTCGGCAGCGAGGCGTCGATCGACGGCACCGCCGCGAGCGACGGCGGCGTCGGCGCGACCGCGAGGGTGACGCACCGTCGGTTGGAGTCCCTGAGCGACGCGTTCGGCGGCGCCGGCGCGAGCACCACCGGAAGCGAGGGCGGCACCGGCGGATCGGGCGCCGAGGTGCGTTCTATACACTGGTCCCCATACGACCCCGTTCGCGTGGTGAACGCCGATCCTTAAGGACTTTTCCCGGCGCATCTCTCCGCCCACACCTCGCTTTCAATCCCCGCCCTCGAGGCCTTTCAACTCCGACTGACGCCTTTCAACTCCACCCCGACGTTCGCTCGTATAGAACGGCCCTGAGGACGGCGGCGCCGGCGCCGGCGGCGGCGGGGAGAACGTCCGCGTGCTGCGATCGCCGGCGCCGTCGTTCCGCCCGGACGGCGGCGAGGGCGCGCGAATGCGCGGCGATGACTCGCTGGGGTCGCCGTCGGACGCGGCGGCGGCCGGACGCCGCCGCGGTCACGGCGCGTTTCAACGAGAAGAGGGGGGCGACGCCGGCGACTCCTACGGGCAAACAGTCTCCCGCGTCGTCGCCGCGCCCGACGCCGATTTCGTCCGCGACCTCGCGCTGTCCCTGAGAGACGAGCTCGGGTTGCGACTGTTCAACTTCGACCTCATCAAGGTGGTCGGCGCGGCGAAGGACGAGTGGCTCGTGGTGGACATCAACTACTTCCCGGGCATCGCGAAGATGCCGGGGTACAGGCGCGTTCTCCTTCACACTGGTTCCCATACGACCGCGTCGGCGCGGTGAACGCCGATCCTTAAGGACGGAATTTTGCCGTCGCATCTCTCCGCCCATCACCCCTCGCTGGTTTCAATCCCGACGCACACACCGCGACGCCTTTCACCTCCGCTTCTGACGCCTTTCAACTCCACCCCGACATTCGCTCGTATGGAACGACCCTACAGCGACACGTTTTGCGGGTTTCTCAAGTCGGCGAAGCGCACAGCTGGCGGGGGGACCGGCGTCGGCGCGGAGAGCGGTGGGAGAGGAGAGGCGGCGACCGGCGGCGCGGCGTCCAGGAACGGCGACGCGTGAGAGAGAGAGAGAGAGAGAGAGAGAGAGAGGAGGTCGAGGGCGCGAGGGAGGGTCTGAAAAAGCACGTGACCCGCCCTGAGAGCCCTAGACTCGGGAAGATTCTTTGTTCCATCGATTGATTCATTTTTTTTTTGGTCCTCGCCTCGCTCCTTAGTCGCCGTCGCCGTCGCCGTCCCCGGCCTCGTCCGTCTCCCCCCCCGGATTCAGCGGCGACTCCCGCGCCGCCGCCGCCGCAGCCTCACGCGTCTCCGTCTTCGTCTCCGCGACCCACGGCTTATTCGCGACGCACAGCTCCCCCGCGACGCACCCGAAATCGCACGCGGGCTCGTCCTTCTTCCACCCGCACCCGGGCTCGTCCGGTAACGCGTCCAGCCGGTCGATCGCGCCGCGCATCAACCCGATCATGTCGGTCAAAATCGCGTTCAACGCGCCGTCGACTTTGGGTCGTTCCATACGAAGCGAAGTCGGGGTGGAGTTGAAAGGCGTCAGTTGGCGTTGAAAGGCGTCGCGGTCGGGGATTGAAAGCGAGGGACCCTGGACGGAGAGACACGCCGGCGAAAGTCCTTAAGGATCGGCGTTCACAACACCGCGCCGACGCGGTCGTATGCGGACCAGTGTATAGAACGCACCTTTCGCGCCGTCTTGCAGCGTCAGGTCCCCGCGGTCGCCCGCGTCCGCCGGCGGCATCCTCGGCTTGTGCGACCGCGGATCGCGGACGTGTTTCGTATCCACGTACGGCCGCTTAGGGTCGTTCCATACGAGCGAACAGCGGGGTGGAGTTGAAAGGCGTCAGATGGAGTTGAAAGGCGTCGAGGTGTGTCGGGATTGAAACCGAGGGGTGGGAGGAGAGAGACGCCGGCAAAAGTCCTTGAGAATCGGCGTTCACCACGCCAATGCGGTCGTATGGGAACCAGTGTATAGAACGCACCTTATCCCACGACCAGACCGCGTTCTTGTTCGCGTCCAAGTACGTCGCGCCCCAGGTGTAGTGATACAGCGACGCGTTCCCCGCCGCGCGGTCCGCGGGCGGCTGATGCGTCAAAGAGAAGTCATGTATCTGTCAGTTGAAAGGGGCCCACGCGATCAAATGTTGAAACCGAGGGGTGGGTGAAACACGTGTGGCGATACGAGTAACGCACCTGCGCGATGAGCGTCGTCGCGCTGGGCTCTTGCACGTCGTGTTTCACCCCCGTCACCGCGGCGGCGACGTCGTACGCGTACATCTCTCGGACCCACCCCAGGCGTTCTTTCGCGACGTCGTCCGCCTCGATCGCGGCGGCGATGCGCTCGTACTCGTCGATTAAACGCACGAGATCGGAGCGTTTTATCATCACCGGCGCGGGACCCGAGCGCATGACGTCCTCCACCCTCACCGAGTCCCTCTTCTCCTCCGGGATGAGCTTCCGTATCACCTCGGGAAGTTTCGGAAACTTCGGGTCGATGTAATCGAAGTGAAACGCGATCGCGGGAGAGTTCGGCGGCGGCGCGGGCATCGCGCGTCGCCACACGTAATCCGTCTCTATGAGCAAATAGTGTTGCGCGCCGCGGCGGCTGTCGGACGTGCGCAGCCATTTTTTTATCGCGTCCGGACGATCCGCGACGGGGAATTCGCACCACACGTCGCACGCCGCGTGCAGCGAGTCCACCCTGGGGGGTTGAAAGGGACCGGGTTGAAAGGGACCGACGCGATCGAACGTTCGTTGAAAGCGAATCGCGGCGGGCGAAGAGCGGTCGACCACGGGGAAAGTTCAACTCCTTACGGGTCGTATAGGGACCAGTCTCGTCTCGTCGCTCTCACCTGACCGTGGGCACCTCGGCCATGAGCTCGTCGTCGGTTCTTCTGTGTAACAGACGCGTGAAGTGCAGCATATCGCTCCCGGGCTGGACGTCAAGGAACGTTCTATACATTATCCGCGTCTGCCAGTTCAGGTACGGGCTGCCGTTCGACGTCGCGACGACGTGGATGCCGGCGGCGGTATTAGGGCCGTTCTATACAAGCGAAAGTCGGGGTGGAGTTGAAAGGCGTCAGTTGGAGTTGAAAGGCGCCGAGGACGGGGATTGAAAGGGAGGGGTGGGCGGAGAGATGCGACGGGCAAAATCCTTAAGGATCGGCGTCCACATCGCCAACGCGGTCGTATGGGGACCAGTGTATAGAACGCACCTTATACGATTCTGATTCTGATTCTTTCGTCGACGACGACGACGACGACGACGACGACGACGACGACCGCGACGGGGCGGCCGGCGACGGCGGCGCGGGCGGGTCCCCACGCCTCCGCGCGCTCGGCGCCTCCTCCTCCGACGTCGCCGTTTCCCTTCTCGGCGACGACTTTCGACGGCGTCGCCGCGCGTCGTCGTCGTCGTCGTCGTCGACGTCCTCATCCTCGGCGTCGACGAACGCGCTCGCGAACGACGCCCCCCCGCTCGTCGCGTCCCCGCCGCCCGCGCCGAGGACGACGCCGCCGCTCGACTCAAACTCGCTCACGCGCTCCGCCTCCTCCTCCTCCTCATCGTCGTCGTCATCGCGCGCGGACGCCCGCGCCGGCCCCTCGTCTCCGCGTCGTCGATCGCGGGAGGATGCGATCGCCGCCTCCGGTCCGCCGCGATTGCGCGCGCGCTCCGGCGCGGGCCCCCACGCCCATCGCGTGAGCTCGTACGCGATCGTCAGCGACGCGATGAAGAGGAACAGGGTGACGCATCGCCTCGATCGCGCTCTCGACCCGCGCGCGGAGGTCGCCCCCATCGCGGGAGGGAGGAGGATCTCGCGCCTCGACAAGTGTCGCGCGTGGCGTGGATCGAGCGCGAACCTCAGCGCAGCGGTGTGAGAACGTTGTTAGTCTGTCTGGTGGTGTTCATAGGTCAGTTGAAACGGGACGCGATCAAATGTTGAAACCGAGTGGTGGGTGAAAATCAGAACCTGGAAAAAACCGGCTGTAACCGTTGAGGTGCCGATACCGGACGACCGCGCCGCGAGCCCGCCACACGCGCACGACGCGACTCGCGCATCGCGCTCGAGCTCGCGACCGCGCGTCAAATCCGCGAAGACGCGAACGGCGACGCGGAGGATCCGGCGGCGCGAGGCGGCGGCGTCGGCCGCGAGATCTCGCGCGCGCGGCCGTTCCGAGAGGGGCATCGCGTCGTCGTCGAGTTCCGTGGAAATAATTCGTTCGTTCGCGCCGCGTCCGCCGCCGCCGTCATGAGCAGCACGAGCGGCGGGAGCGACGACGGCGACAGAGGCGGCGGCGGCGGCGGCGGCGACGGCGCGACGCCAAAGTCAGAGAAGAAGAAGCGCTCGGGCGCGGCGAAGAAGCACGCGCGCAAGCTGAAGAACGCGACGCAGATGGCGGAGCTCAGAGAAAAGATGCGCGTCGCGCGCGAGAGCAAAGCCGCGTCCTCCGCGGCGGCGACGGCGGCGACCGCGGCGGCGACCGCGGGCGCCGCCGACGCCGACGCTGACGACGCGCGGGGTTTGGCGTCGGCGTCGGCGCCGCCGCCGCCGCCGCCGCCGCCGCCGCCCGCGTCGTCGTCGTCGTCCGCCTTCGCCCCGGGTGCGATCCTCGTCGCCGCGGACAAGGCGTACTTGGAGGGCGACCTCGACCGCGCGGCGACGCTGTACGAGGGCGCCGCCGCGGACGACGGCTCCGGGTTCGCGCCGCTGGCGTCGATGCGAGTCCACGCCGGGGATTTATCCGGCGCGCTGGATGTCCTGCGCGCGGCGGCGGCGGCGGCGGCGAACGCGAAGGACGCGTCGAGAACATCATTCGACGCCGACGCTGCGCGGAGGCTCGCGATGGACCTCGCCGAGCTGTGCGCCGCGGCGGCGTCGGCGTCGAGCGCGTCGGCGCCGCCCGCCGCGCTGTCGTTCGCGACGCCGACGGGGACGCGTCGGAAGGCGTTGACGAGCTCCGCCGCCGCGCGCGTCTCCGCGGCGGCGTCGAAGCAACTCGCGGCGGGCTTGTTCCTCCGCGCGCACGCGAAGGGGGACGTGAACGCGCTGATCCGAGCGTCGGAGACGATCGCGTACGGCGGCGAGGGGGACGACACGTCGCCGCGCGCGGACGCGGACGGATGGCGGCGCGCGGCGAGGATGGCGTGCGCAGCCGGGCGAGCGCTCGGGGAATGGAAATCGCAAACGCCCGCGAACGACGACGACGCAAGGCCGCGGTGAGACTGCTTCCCATACGACCCCGTTCGCGTGGTGCACGCCGTTCCTTAAGGACTTTTCCCGTCGTCACTCTTCACCCGCGCTTCCCTTTCAACGTTTGACCGGTAAGACGTTCGACTGACCGATCGCTTCACCCACAGGAACGACGACGACGCGCGGCGGCGCGCGGCGAAGGCTGCGTTCGCGGTGGCGGCGGGGCACCTCGTCGCGCGCGCGCGCGCCGTCGGCGACGACGTCGCGCGCATCGCGGACGTCGCCGCGGAGGCGGCGTGGTGTTTAGGCGAGAAGGACGTCGCGGGCGCGTCGGTTGACGTTTTATCTTCCGTCGGCGGCGCGGCTAGGGAACCCCGCGCGTTGGTCGTGAACGCGTGCGCGGCGGCGTGCGCGGACGTCGTCGAGAACGTCGCGGCGTCCAAGAAGATATGCGTCGACGGTGCCGACGATTCGAATCCTCCTTTGGGTGCCGAGGGTGCCGAGGGTTTAGGTGATGTCGACGTGGACAAATCAGATGCGTCTTCCGCGGCTGTCGTCGTGAACGCGATATCGACGCTGATCGCCGTCGCGCGATCCGCGGTGACGTCGCTCCCTTCAGGTGCGTTCTCCTTCACCACACTGGTCCCCGTACGAACTCGTCCGCGTGGTGAACGCCGATCCTTAAGGACTTTACTTCCCGGCGTCACTCTCCGCCCGCCCACCGCTTGCAATCCCGACACACCTCGACGCCTTTCAACTCCGCTTCTGACGCCTTTCAACTCCACCCCGACGTCGCTTCGTACGGACCCTCGACCCTCAGACGCGTCGGACGACGCGAGAGAGACGACCGCGGCGGACGTTCTCGGCGACGACACCGCGCGCGTGTGCAAGGCGCTGTGGGCGAGCCGGTGCCGGGACATGCACGCGATGCACGCGAAGACGCACGCGAGCGACCTCGTCGAGCGGCGCACGCGGACGATCGAGTCCAAGTCCGAGGCCAAGTCCGCCAAATCCGCTAAGGCGCGTTCTATACACTGGTCCCCATACGACCGCGTTCGCGTGGTGAACGCCGATCCTTAAGGACTTTTCCCGGCGCGTCTCTCCGCCCAGCCCCCGCTTTCAATCCCCGCCCTCGGCGCCTTTCAACTTCAACTGACGCCTATGAACTCCACCCCGACGTTCGCTTGTATAGAACGGCCCTAAATCCGAATCCGAGTCGAAGACGCGCGACGACGCGTCCGACGACGCGTCCGACGACGCGTCCGACGACGCGTCCGACGACGCCGACGACGCGTCCTCAGGCTCCGCGGACGAGCGCCTCGAGGCGTCGTCGCGGGCGGACTTGAACCTCGCGCGCGCGGCGATCGCACTCGCGGCGTGCCACCCGAACGACCCCGCGGTGTACGCGCACTGCCTCGCGTCGTGCGGTGAGACTGCTTCCCATACGACCCCGTTCGCGCGTTGATCGTCGTTTCTTAAGGACTTTTCCCGTCGTCACTCTTCACCCGCGCTTCCCTTTCAACGTTTGACCGGTAAGACGTTCGACTGACCGATCGCTTCACCCACGCACGGCGCTCAGCGTCCATCCCGGAGCCGTCCGCGGAGACGGCGGAGGCGTTCGAGGCGCGTTCTTTCTTCTGTGTTTGTTCACACTGGTCCCCGTACGACCGCGTCGGCGTGGTGAACGCCGTTTCTTAAGGAGGACTTTTCTTCTCTCCCGGCGTACTGTATGTTTCTCTCCGCTCACCGCCCCTCGCTGGTTTCAATCCCGACGCGCGCGCCGCGACGACGCCTTTCAACTCCGTCGTCTGACGCCTTTCAACTCCTCCCCGACGTCGGTCGCCTCGACCCTGGACCCTCCCTCGACCCTAAGGCGTTGACGCCGCCGGACGCCGGCGCGGCGATTCTCAAGCCGCTGCGCGCGTTTCGAGCGCGCGCGGAGTCTGCGGCGCACTCGCCGCCCGCGTCGCCCAGGGACTCGGGCGCGGGCGCGGCGCTCTTATCGCAGCTCGATCAAGCGCGCGATCAGGCGCGTTCTATCTCACACTGGTTCCCATACGACCCCGTCCGTGTGGTGAACGCCGTTTCTTAAGGACTTTCTCTCCCGGCGTCTCTCTCCGCCCAGGGTCCCTCGCTTTCAATCCCGACACACCTCCCTCGGCGCCTTTCAACTCCGCTTCTGACGCCTTTCAACTCCACCCCGACATTCTTCACTTTGGTTGGAACGCGCGATCAGTACGTCGGCTTGATTTTCGACGAGCTCATGAACGTCGCCGTCGGCGGCGCCGCCGCCGTCGCCGCCGCGCGCGCGGCGGTCCCGCCCGGGCCGATCGCCCGCGCGATCAACCGTAACGCAGGTAAACCGGCCGTTTCGTTTTCATCCCTGGACGAGGACACGATGACGACCTCATCCCCCGCGAAAGCGTGGTGCTCCGGCGGCGTCGTGCCGTACTACGCCACGTGCGTCCGCGATCCGTTCGCGGCGAACGCGTCGGTGGATCCGACGCCGCGGCTGCTCGGTCTCGTCCCGGACGCGATGTCCACGCCGCCGGCGATGCGAAGGGTGTCTCTCGGGGATTTACCCCCGGGGTCGTTGTCCGCGATGGAGGCGCGGGGGCAGGCGGGCGCGGCGGTTGACGGTTCATCTTCCGTCGGCGGCGCGTTCGGGTCTCCGACGCCGACGCCGGCGGCGGACCCGGACCCGGACCCGGCGGCGACCTCAGGTGCGTTCTATACACTGGTTCCCATACGACCGCGTTCGCGTGGTGAACGCCGATCCTTAAGGACTTTTGCCGCCGTCTCTCTCCGCCCATCCCTCGCTTTCAATACCCGTCCTCGATACCTTTCAACTCCACCTGACGCCTTTCAACTCCACCCCGACATTCGCTTGTATGGAACGACCCTCAGCGTCCGAGGAGGATAACTACAGCGACGAGAGCTTCGGCGCGTCCTCGAACGCGGCGGCGGCGGCGAACGGCGGTACTACGACAACTCGTGGTGGACGCGGCGGCGTCGCGGTCACGACGCTGATCCTCCCGTCTTCCGACGCGTCGGACGCGGAGCCGCGGGAGTATCAGGCGCGTTCTCCTTCACACTGGTTCCCATACGACCGCGTTCGCGTGGTGAACGCCGTTCCTTAAGGACTTTGCCCGGCGTCTCTCTCCGCCCAGGGTCCCTCGCTTTCAATCCCCGCCCTCGACGCTTTTCAACTCCACCCCTGACGCCTTTCAACTCCACCCCGACATCGCTTCGTGTGGACCCTCGACCCTCAGAAGACCCCGGAGCCGGTCGCGGACGAAGCGTTCTCGCTGGCGACGACGGCGCTCGAGACGTCTGGTTCTGCTTCGTCCGACGATAGCCTCGCCGCGATCGAGGACGCGCTGCGACGAAGCATCGCCCGCGACGACGACGACGACGCCGATGGGGACGCCGAGAGCGACGTCAGCGGCGGCAGCGCGAGCGGCGACGAGGACGGCGCGAAAGGAAACGCGGCGGCGACGGCGGCGGCGACGACGACGACGACGACGACGGTCGCCGCCTCCGGGCTCGACGTCAGCCGCACGTCGTCGATGGACTCCGAGGTCGCCGCCGCCGTGGACGCGACGAGAGCCGCCGCGGCTAAAGCGGCGGTCGCGAACGCCATGGCGGGCGCGTACGACGCGCCGATGATGACTCGACCCGGTCGCGCGCGCGGCGGCGGCGGCGGATCGGCGGGAAAGTCGGCGGTGGGGGCGCGCGCGGGTCACGCCGAGGGGTCCTTCTCCGCGGCGGCGGCGGCGACGGCGGCAGCGGCGGCGGCGGCGGGAGATGTATTACCCTCCCGCGTCACGCCTCTGCTCACGCGGTACGATAAGCAGGTGTACGGCGACCGGAGAGCGGGCGGCGCGCGCGCGATGGGGGGCGGCGCCGGCGGCGCCGGCGGCGGAACGCATTTGCGTTTGCTGACGCGCGAAGGGATGCGACGCGCCGCCGCGGAGGCGGCGAAAGCGGCGGCGCTCGCCGCGGACGCCGCCGCGAAGGCGCAGCAGAACGCAAATGAGTGGAGAAGCGCTGAAAACCCGAACTCGAAAGTAACGCCTGGCGTGGGGGCGTTACGCGCGATGAACGCGGACGTCCAGGCGGTCATCGAAGCCGCCGTCGCCGCGGCGACGCGAGACGCGGAGACTCGCCTCGCGGCGACGCTCGAAGCCGCGCTCGCGAAGATCCGCGAGGACGACGCCGCGTCCTCCGGGGCAGCGAACAGCGGGGATGATGTTACTGGCGAGAAGAAGGAGAAGGAGAAGAAGAAGAATACCTTGACGGCGGACGGCGTAACGGACGACAACGGGGCGTTACTTTTTACGATCGACGCGGCGATCGCCCGCCACCCCGGATTACGCCCGTCGTCGCCCATTCGCACCGAGTCGGTCGAAGACGCCGCCGCCGCCGCAGCGCTGGAGGCGTCCAAAGCCGGCCCGGACGCGCAGTCGATGTACTACAGCTCCTACAACGTCGCGCTGGACGCCGCGACGACGACGACGGCGACGACGGCGGCGGCCGCGTCCGACGCCGCGCGCGTCGTCCGCGTCCGCGTCGGAGAGAAGGGCCCACAACCTTTTCCGACGGCGGCGGCGGCGTCGGCGGCGGCGGTCGCGTCGTCGATGGCGTCCGCGGGCGCGGCGGGGAGAGCGGCGAGCCGCGCGCGCGCGGAGCGGATGCTCGAGCGGCGAAGACGCGTCGCGAACGCGGGGAGGAACGGACGGCCGGAGGTGCGTTCGAGTCACACTGGTTCCCATACGACCGCGTTCGCGTGGTGAACGCCGATCCTTATTGAGGACTTTTGCCGTCGTCTCTCTCCGCCCAGGGTCCCTCGCTTTCAATCCTGACACAACTCGACGCCTTTCAACTCAGCTTCTGACGCCTTTGAACTCCACCCCGACATCGCTTTGAACGATGGCCCGACCCTCAGTTGTCTCACTTTTTAGGCGGCGACGACGACGCGCGGCGGCTCGCGTCCGTCGTCGACGCGGAGCTCGCGGAGAGGCAGATGCGCGCGCTGTTAAAAGACGAAGATAAAGACAAGGGAGGAAAAGAAGGTAACAACAGTGGTGGTAACGGTCCATCGGAAGGCGTTTCGACCACCTCGAAGAGCTTCACCGAACGACGGGCGCCTCCCTCCCCCCGGGAGTTTGGGATATTCGCCGACTTGGCGTCTGAGAAGTCGTCCGGCGCCGCCGTCCTCCGCGCGAGCGACGCGCGACGGTCGCGTCCGAAACCGCCGCTCTCCGCGCGTTCATCCGTGAACTCCCAGCTCGGCGGCGGCAGCGGAAAAGGGTTATGGGCCCGGAGCAGCCTGAACGACACCGTCGACGCGGCGTGGGATAAATTCGACGACTCCGTCGACGTCCGCGCGTCGCGACTCGACGCGTTGCTCGACACGTCGGACGCGCAAGAAGACGCTGTCCTCGCCGCGGAGGCGGCCGCGGCGGAGGCTGAGGCCGCGGCGATGGCGGACCCGATCAAGGACGCGATCGACGCGATCGCGGTCGCGGCGTCGCGAGCCGCGGTGACGACGCCGCGGGCGCCGGCGGATCCGTTCCCGTACTTGCTTCCGTGGGTGCAGAAGAGAGCCCGCGCGCTGTCGCAGCTCTGGTCGCAAGCGTCGCATCCGTCGCGGCGGTCCGCGGTCGCGGCGGCGGCGGGGATGGTCCGAGGAGGGTCGACAGGGTCGCCCTCGTCGGCGCTCAAACAGAAGCCGACGCGCGGGGACGTGCTCGATCGCGCGGAGCTCGCTCGGTTCACGCGGCTCTTGTTACCCCCCGAGGCGGACGCCGCGCGGTCGCTCTGGTACATGCACGCGTGCGTGTCCACCGAGTGCGGCCCCGAGGTGTCGCTTTCGGACTTCACGCGGCAGGTCAAGGAGGGCGCGAAAGCCGGCGCCGCCGCGGAGGCGTCGGTAACGCTCGAAGAGGATGCGTTTACGCGCGCGCACGAGGAGTTCGAGTACGACGTCGTCCGCGTGTCGGAATGTACGGAACCGACCGGAACCCTAAACCCCGGGGAATCGTCGTCGGGGTCGCCGTTCGCGACGCCGACGAAAATGGGGACCCCGTCGTCGGCGAGAAAACGAAAACCGTCGTCGGGCATGTCGACGACGCCGGGACGCGCGGGCGGGCTCGCCCCCGGCGGCGGCTTCGGCCAAGGCTTTCGAACGCCGCACGACGCGACGCTCGCGCGCGTCGCCGCCGCGGTCGACGTCGACGTCGGCGCGATCAAACGCCGGTTTCACCGCGGCGGCGTCCACGGCCCTTTCTGCCTCTCCCCCGAGGAGCTCTCCGCGACGCTCCTCGAGCAGAGCTTCCCCGCCGCGGACGTCCGCGCGGTCCTCGCGGAGCTTCGCGTCTGGGAAGGGTACCCGTCGAAGATTCGATTCGCGAAGTTTCGAGCGATGCTTCGGCCGCGGCGGGACCGCGTCAAGGAGCGCGCGATGAAGGCGCGCGACGCGGGCGCGGAGGCGCGGCGAGCCGCGGAGGAGGACGTGGCGAACGGCGTCCCGCTGACGATTCCGACGGGGGGTGGGGGCGCGGCCGCGGGGGGCGACGTCTCGGTCGATTTCGAGGCAGCGACGCCGAAGGCGGCGGCGGCGGCGGCGGCGACGGATAAGGAGGACGTCGAAGCACTCGAACCGCCGCGCGCGCCGGGCGAGGACGGAACGCGAATCGACGCCGACGACGCCGCGGACGCCGACGTCGCCGCGGAGACGGAAAAGGCGAAGGCGACGGCGCGCGACGCGTTAAGCGCGCTCGAGGCTGAGGCGCGCGAGTGCCTCACCGCGGACGTCCCCAGGGAGAGAGAAGACGTCGCGAGGGACGAGACGCGCGCGCGGCGCGTCCGCGACGTCGTCGAGGGACCTTCTTCGCCCGACGCGGCGGCGGCGACGCGGGAGGAGACGATCGCGTACGCGCGACGACTCGCGGCGCGATTGCCGCCGCCAGCGTCGTTGACGGTGCCGTCGAGGGACGAATCCCTCGACGTCGAGGCACTCGAGCCGCCGAACGCGGCGAAGACGCCGGAACTGGAGCCGGACGCCGCGTTCGGCGCCGCGGTCGCTGCTGAGCGGTCGCGGTCTCGAGATCCAGCGATCCAGCCGCCCGCGGACGACGACGACGACGAAGCGTATGGGAACCAGTCTGACGAAGCGTCAGAGGCGCTGGAGTACGACAGCGACAGCGAGCCGTTGGAGGACGACGCGTTGGACGCCGCCGTCGCCGCGGTGGCGTCGCACTTGGGGGTGCCGAAGGGTGCCAACGAGAGCGCTGACGTGGACCAATCAGAAGACGTAGACGACGATGACCTGTCGCTCTCCGCGTCGGCGAGCCCGCCGGGGAGCGGTTCGGGCTCGGGCTCGGGAGGAGGGAGCGCCAAGCTCCGAGCCGCGCGCGACGCCAAACTCGAAGCGTCCCGCTCGCCGTTTTCGCGACGGACGGAACGGAACGCGTCGGAGGCGGCGGCGGCGGTCGCCGCCGCCGCCGCAGCGACGGTTGACGTTCCATCTTCCTCCGCTTCCGAACGCGAACGCGACTGGCTCGCGCGCGCGACGCCGGAGGAACGCGCGGCGCTGGCGCTCCCGGATCGCCGCCCGGCGCGAAACGTCGTCGCCGCCGCGCCGGGGCCGGGGCCGGGGCCAGGGCCGGGGCGGGGCGGCCGCGACGCGCAGCAGCGCGCGACGGAGGCGGACCGCCTGCGGAAAGCCGCCGCGGGCGTCGTCTTGGACGGCTTCAAGGAGGTCAACTCGGAGCTCGCGAGGCTCGAACGCGACGCGGACGCGCTCGAGGAGGATTTGGAGAAGAGCGCGGCGACGATGGCGGCGATCGAGGTGAGACTGCTTCCCATACGACCCCGTTCGCGTGGTGAACGCCGTTCCTTAAGGACTTTCCCCGTCGTCACTCTTCACCCGCGCTTCCCTTTCAACGTTTGACCGGTAAGACGTTCGACTGACCGATCGCTTCACCCCGCCACCCACGATCGACCCTCTTTGACCCTACAGAGCGCGAGGGACGCGAGCGCGACGTCGCACATGCGACGGCTCGCGACGCAGGCGAGAGCGCTGCGGGAGAAGGTGGAGGAGGAGGACGCGGCTGGGGACGCGGCGCGCGCGTTTTTGGAGCGCGAGCGAGGGCGGCGATGATGAACGAGCGTCGCGGGGACCCCGACGGATTATTAAGACTACATCTATCTATCGTTCGCTAAAAATCTAATGTATAACGCCACACAGGCGGCCGTTTTGAACTGGTTAAACTTCAAAGCCGTCGACCAGAGCTCTCTCTCTTCGTCCGCCGCGTTCGATCGGTCACCACCGCCGCCGTCGCGCCGCCGACCGCGAACGCGCCCAACCCCACCGCGCATCGCATCGCGACCGGCGGCCCGGTCGCTCTGTAAAAATCCCTCCAGCTCGCGATCTTCAGCGGCTCGCCGAGCGTCGCCGTCGCCGCGCTGAGCGCGCCGCCGGCGTCGACGATCGGAAAAAGCGTCCGTCGCGCGATCGCCCAGACGCCACCCATCGCGCCCGCGCCCGCGAGTCGCCCGAGCGACGACGACGGCGCGTCGACGTCGTACGTCGCGAGCGAGGAGTCAGATGACGACGCGAGCGCGTGACCGAGGTACCACGTCGCGACGCACCCGCCGAGGAGCGACGGAGGGCCGACGAGCACGAGGACCCCGGGGCACATGTCGTGTGATCTGAGGTGCCCGCTAAGAGTTCTCGCCGCAGCTGTGTACGTGACTTCCGTACTACACGTACAGTATCGTATGGAGAGATAAGCATAGAATACTACGAAAGTACTTTCGTACGAAAGTACTTGTGACTAAATACTCGATACCTACTCACTTGGAATATTTCTTTGAGTAACAGGGTCTGGTATATGTACTTTCGTACTTTCGTACGAAGGTAGCTAACTTCACGTACGTAGATATGTACTGTAGTGTAGTTATGTACGACCCTTCGTATCTATTTGCAAATCTTAAATATCCGGAACCTGATTGGTCGAAACCGGAATAACATAGAATACGTGCAATACCGCACACACATTCCACACACACATTCCTTCTTCGCGCGCCGTCGCGCGCCGTCGTCGTCGTCGCGAAGACGATGGGGACGATAAACCCCGCGTCGATCATCATGGCGCCCATGATCGCCTTGGCCGGCGGCGACGCCGCGCGACGACTCGTCCGGAACGCGATGCAGCACGAGGGCCGCTCCCGAATGATGAAGATCTTCTTCGCCGTGATCCCCGTCCCGGAGCAGTTCTACGCCCGCTACAAAGACCTCGAGCTCATCAACACGCGACGGATCATCGGGATCGCGACCGCGGTCTTATACGCCGCGGTCGCGATTTCCTTCGCGGTCGGCCTGTGGTTCTACTACACCATCAAGGTGAATCACACGCTCGTCTCCGCGTGGGAATGGTCCGTCTCAGGATACGACTGCAAGCCGCTTTCCGGGGACGAGTTCTATGGAAACACGTACACCTACGCGGAGTGCCAGGCCAACTATCGCCCGGTCTCCGAGGATTCGATCGACTTCACGAAGCGCGCGGTCGGCAGGAGGTTCGGGAACGCGTGGAAGGCCACTGGGGGTGGGTCGCTAATCGTGGCCGCGGACGGATACGGAAGCGTGTCCTACAACCCGTTCGCGACGCAAAACAGCGAAGGCTTACAGGCGAAGTACCTCTCGACCGAGCCCGAGGATACCCACGAAGCCAGCCCGTTCACGCCCGATGGACGCGGCGGGTGGTACGGCGACGACGCCGTGAACTCCGCGGCGAACGTCGCGACGGGGAAGTACATCTACCTCGAACCTGGAGATCACTTCGTCGGCATTTGCGCGCCGAGCGGCGGGGCACTCTATCTGGATGACTCTACCACGCAAAGTGTGACCGCGGGGATAGATTGCACAACGGACGCCTTGGACGCCGCGTACAAAGCGACCTGGGTCGCCATGTTCGAGAAGGTCATGGAGACGTACGGCGACGTGTGTCACTACACGTACTCGAACAGGCCGTTCCTGTGCACGAAGAACGAGCGGCAGCACTGGCTCACGATTTTCGCGCTCGCGAATAACATAAGCGCGCTGCTGTACACCTTCCTCGCGATCGCGCTCATCAAGGCCGTGAGAGGAAAGCCGACGGACCGCGGGGAGACGAAACACTGGGTGAAACGGTTGCCGTTACCCCCCGAGCTGTACAACGAGCAGTACGACCTCACGTTCGTGACGGGGGACGTCTTCGCCAGCGTCGTCACGGCGGTGATTTACGTCGTCACCGCGGCGTCGTTTATGTTCTTCTTCTTTTTTTATTCGGACGAGAACAACTACGACGCGACCGAGATTCTCACGAGCGAGTACGAGGTAAATGGGTTCGAATGCTTCCCGACGGAAGCGCACACCGGTTTCCGGACGACGCACTCGTACGATCAGTGCGTGGAGGAACTCAAGCAGAGGCCCCCGAGCGCGGCCACCGTCACGTTCCAGACTAATTATGGCAGCGAAGACGCCACGCATACGCAAGTGTATAACTCCTTGTGGATGCCGTTCAAGAAAATGGAGGAAGACGCTGAGTTCCTCGCCGAGAGCACGTGGGGCAATTTCGAGCTGATTCCCGGGTCGTATCTCGAAGACGTGACCGAGCCCACCGAGATCGCGGCGAACTCTTTACTGAGCTTCGGCGTCAAAGCGTGGACGACGACCGGGGCGACGCGGAAGTGGTTCTCGCGCCACGCCGGTTGGCCCGCGAACGTGTACATATCTCGGTCGAGCGCGTGGTCGGACCACGACGGGTCGAAAGATGCGGCGATCGCCGCCTGGGTGAAGGTCGCGGATCACATCGGGGATAAACTGTGCGACTACACGAAGGAGCAACCGCCGTACCAATGCGTTGAGGATTTGAACCTGTTCAGCGTGAATAACATCCTGAATTCGCTCGCGCTCGCGTTCGGTCTCGCGCAGCTCATCTACGCCATCTTGAGCTACCTCGCGGTGATTTTCTTCGCGGAACGGAACCGCATGAGCAAGCAGCCGATTCGTTCGTTGAAACCAGAGCGCACGTGGCTGTCGCGCGTCCCCGTGCCAGAGAAATTTTACGAGCTCAACGCGCTCGATTTAATCGCCAAACCGATGATCGTCTTCTCGGCGTTCATGGGCATGGCAGTCGTCGGCGCGCTCGCGTTTTACTTCACGTACATCATCTACGACGCGCAGCGGTTCACGGATACGGCAACCGTGGACGGGTACCAGCTCGACGGGTACACGTGCAAGCCGACGGCGACGGCGCGGTACGGCTCGCAGACGGCGGGGCTTCCGCCGTGGACGTACGCGGAGTGCGTCGCGAAACTCGAAGCGCCGACGGTCGAGAACTCCGGTCTGAACGACCTCTCGAAATTGACACCGGCCGGGGATACGTTTGACAGCTATCCTTCTAATGTCGCCGGGACGACGACGTACGCTAATAACCTGTACAGCACGCCGGTGCGTTCACACATGGATTAGACGCGTTTTTCACCCGTACCTTCTCGGTTTCAACACTCGATCGCTCCCCCTTTCAACTGACCGACGATTTTTTTTCGCGCGCGCGGCGTCGCTTGCAGTTCGACCAACCCGTGCGGTTCGCGCCGTGGGGGAAAGCCCTCCCCGGATTCGACTGGTACCGAGGGTGCACGAGCGACTGCGAGCCGTCGTGCGAGTGGTCGCACCCCGCCGGCGACACGCGGTACGACTGGGGGCAGACGTTTAACTGCAAGCACGGGGTCAAGACGTGGGACGCGCCCTACGCGTCCTTCGACGCATACTTCACCGCTAAGATGACCGCGTGGAAGTCGTCGTTCGACGGCTCCGGTCTGACGTTAGAGAACGACCCTCGATTCGGCATCTACATCAAGTACGCGAACGCGGCCGCGAAAAAAGAGTCGGAGGTTGTCGCGCAGTTCACGAGCATTTACCAGACGCTCGGGGAAGAGCGTCTGTGCGCGTGGACCAACGCCATCACGCCGCAGGCGTGCGAGAGGGAGACGAAGAACGACGTGCTGACGGTGCTGTCGCTCGCGTTCGCGAACGCGGAGCTCGCGGCGATGACGTGGATCACGTTGATTCCGATCTTCATCATGAGGTGCTGCGGGACGAAGAGCACGTATCGCGAGCGCGTCGAGGCGCCGCCGCCGGAGCCGCGGCCGAATCGCGGACCTACGATGTTTCTGGTGCCGACGCCGTCGTCGAAGGAAGAGCTCGAGGCGAGGCAGAGAGCCGAGCGCGAGGCTGCGGAGAAGCACAACGCGGAGAGGAAGGCCGCGAAGGAGGCGGCGAAGTTGGAGAAGAAGGCGTCGAAGATGGAGCGCGCGGCGTCGAAGAAGAAGCCGGAGGGGGAGGATCCGAGCACCGCGGTGTAATAACCCCCGGGGGCGGGGGGGGGGGGAACAGAGGGGTGGGGAGAACGTTTTTTTTGCTTTTGCTTTTGTTTTTTCGTTTTTTTATTTTTTGATCTTCTGCTGGTTTTAAAGTTTTACTAGTGGGTTTTAGTTGCGCCAAAATCGGGTCTAAAATCGGGTGGAAAATCGGGTCACCCCACCCTATTTTGCCATACGATTTTAGACCCGATTTTGCAACTAAACCCCGTTTCGAAATTCGGGTCTAAAATCGGGTGGGGTCTCCTTCGGTCGTTTGAAAGGGGTACCCGCGGGCGTTCGCGCGCTGCTGGAGTCGCGGGAGCGTCACAAACGCCGACGTCGTCCGCAAAGAATTTACTCGAAACACCACGATGCGTCGACCCATTCAAAAACATTGCACCGCTCGCTGTGATGATCACGACGTAATCAGCGCTCGAACAGGGCCGGACGCAACTTTCAACAAAAAAAGTTCTCCTCTCTCATCATTGACGATTTAATAAAACGCGACGATTTAAACCGTCATTTCAGGTTTCGTACCCACCCGATTTTAGACCCGATTTTGACCCACCCGGTTTTAAAATCGGGTGGGTTCACCCGAATTCGGGTGGGTCGTTGCAAAATCGGGTCTAAAATCGGGTGGGTACGAAACCTGAAATGACGGTTTAAATCGTCGCGTTTTATTAAATCGTCAATGATGAGAGAGGAGAACTTTTTTTGTTGAAAGTTGCGTCCGGCCCTGTTCGAGCGCTGATTACGTCGTGATCATCACAGCGAGCGGTGCAATGTTTTTGAATGGGTCGACGCATCGTGGTGTTTCGAGTAAATTCTTTGCGGACGACGTCGGCGTTTGTGACGCTCCCGCGACTCCAGCAGCGCGCGAACGCCCGCGGGTACCCCTTTCAAACGACCGAAGGAGACCCCACCCGATTTTAGACCCGAATTTCGAAACGGGGTTTAGTTGCA